ATCTAAAAGATTAGATATTTACTTTAGATCCTTATCAAAATGATAGTTTTTACTTGTAAATTGATACATAATGCAATAGTATCCTAAAAAAAGAATATTATATAAGATTCTTTGTTAAAACTTATCATTGTTAAATTGGAGAGTATTTTGAAAATTAAAAATGTTTAAAATGTGATAGTTTATAAGGGTATTATTCAGTCGAAGTTAAAAGTACATAATGTACTAGGATGGATATTTAAATGATTAAAAGCACTACTGGAGCTATGATAGAACTATAACCTGGCTATTGGAGACACTCCTTTAGATCAAATAATATTGAGTAATGCAAAAAATATCCAAACAGATGTCTTGGGGGTTGGGATGCATCAGATAATACATGCTTTATTGGATCCTTAGGAGCTTTATGTGAAGAATGTGATTTATTTGATCTAAGAGGACAAGGATCTTATCTAAACAATAAGGAAAGCATCTGTCAATCATGTGGTAAATTTAGTGTTTAATTGTTTTTCATGATTTTAGAGTCTATATGGATAATTCTATTAATTATTCTGACTGTCAGAAGTAATAACTTTTCTAATAAATAATTATTTAAGCTTAAATGCTTATATCGTCACTATCAAACTATTTATAAACAAATGATGGATTAAACTAGTACTCTTATTAAAATGGCTAATAATAATTTTTAAATATTGTCATTAATAAGCACATTATAAATTAGCATTTTCTCAAGTTTATCAAATGTTGTATTATTTTTAGGAGATTCTACTTATATAGTAACATATTAATTAGATTGTTCTATTCCCTCAATTTCAACAATTCAATACGAATATGCTCATTTTATAATAATTTTATTATTACCATTATTTCATTTTGGCAGTTGTTGTTTCGTATTTCTAATCTTTCTTATTAAAAAATATGTGACATTTTCAAAATCATATATATACTCTTCTATTATATATTTATATTGTTTAAATTTATAGAACATTATGAAATGGTAATATTTATTTATTATATTGATATTAGGGGTGTATCTTTAATTACAAAACGATAATTATCTGGAATTGATTGGATTTAAGCTAATGTTGCCAGTAGATATGATACAGAAACACATAGTTTATGGTCTATAAGATTTATTTATCCAATTTTGATTTTCTTAGGTATATTTATTCCTGCATTCCTTTTTTATTAAATGAGAAAAATAAGAAAAATCTTAGATGATAAGAATTCAATATAAAAGTTTTCATTTTTATATAATGAATATACAAATGAGTCATATTATTGGGAAATTATAAAAATGTTATAAAAGATATCAATAATTTTAATAGTAAATTATTTTGAATAATCAATACTAATAAAAGGAATATTGATGTTTCTTATTGTTTTAATTTACTATAAACTTTGTTTAGAAATTTAACCCTATAAATTATAATCTATAAGTTAAATTGATGGTAAGATTTCATTTTTATTATCAATCACTCTTATTTGCAGTGTTTTATTATATGTGATATAATAGGAAGAACTATATTATCTAAATTATGCAACATAAGTAATAATATTATTTCTCATATACAAATAAACAGAATTTTTATTGAGAAGGATTTTTATTGTTTATGTTTAAAGATTAAATTTATAATTAGATGCATTAAGATAGTATATACTAATTAGATTTCCAAAAATATATATTTAATATGTTTGTTTAAGACCTTACTTAATGTTAAGAAAGGAATAGGAAGAAAGAATTTAATAGAGATTTAAAAAGATACGATAATATTTAAGAACTAAATCTAGATAAGTGAAAGAGAAAAATATATATTTGAGTAATACTTTTAGAGAATCAAGTTTAATTGGATCTTATCTACCAACTTCTTGTCGTCCTCTTTATACTGGAGAGAATGGCCAAATATTAAAATCAAGTGTATGAAATATTTTATTTTTTGGGCTATTTAGATTATAAATAAATTAGATTATAAAAAAAGCATTATTTACAATTAAGTATGAATATCGCAAATTAATTAATAATAATTATAATTAATAAATAAATAAATAATTATATCATTTCAAATGAATGATAGGCTTTACAAGACATGGCTTCATTATTCTTGATTTATGTATCGAAATTTATTAAGGTAAAGGTAATTCTTATAATCTAAAATAACTTAAGAAATTTCTCTCGAGTTTATTAACATTTAATAAACATCTATCACAATTATAAATAAAATAAATATATTAATTGGATATCTCTTAAGAAGAATCTGATTATATGAACTTTTTTATTTCTATTTGGGAACTGAAAATTCCTCCTTAAAAATTTATTAAACTGGAATTATAGAAAATTCCCTCACTTTGTTTAACGAATTTAGAAATGTCCCTACAGATTGGGAGTAAATCTTCCTTTTATATATAATCTTCTAAAATTTCTTCATTAATACCCATCATTCTTAGAAAATCAAAATTCATTTTTTTCTTTATTCCAACCAATTATCCATCTATAAAAAGAAAATTCAAACATTCATATGGTTTATTAATATTCTCTTCAAATATATTTCTATTATTTTAATTTATCACTTCATAAGGTAATCGATTGTAAAAATTCATCATCTCATCATCTTATAAATTATGTCTTCCCTAAAATCCAGTATTTTGATCAAAAAATGATAACTTATATTCAACGGATTCATTATCATATTTTCTTTCTAAAATTTTACCCTTCATTAAAAATTTGTCGATCAATAATGCTCCTAATGATCGACATGAATATCCATTTCTTTTTTATGATTATACCATTCTTTATAAATAAGTAATTTAGTATAATGAATTCCCTTACTCTATTTGATTTAGACGAGCTAAATTAATGAATCATAATTACTTTTACTCCATTTAACAAGCTAAGTTTTCTATTTGGTTATAGGCTTTTGCAAAATTAATGAAGACCTTTTCTTCTTAAGCTCCTATTATTTGGAAGATGAAACCAAGGAATGTATTGATGTCATAAGATGCAAATATTAAAAAGTATGATAAATACTTAAAACTGGCAATTATGAATGCCCTTTTAAAAGTCATAATTAATTACAAATTAATAGTAATTAGCTAAAGCGAAGATTTGTAATTAATATATAATATAAATGATTAATTTTATAAATATAATTTATGTTAATAATTTTTTTGTGGCTCATTATTCGATAAAATCAAAATGATTTCTTTTTTCTCCAAAAATACTCACTTCAAATTCTATTTATATATATTTTGTTAATACCTAATATTAGTTTTCTTATATTATTTTAACATAATTATTTACATTATTTCATATAACATAAATACTTAATATTTTCTTTCAACAAAGTATTAATAAATTTATCACAGAAGTTCATAGATATATTCGAATGTATTTGAATCTTGCCATCTTACTAAAAGGTTTGATTTANCATTTCAAATGAATGATAGGCTTTACAAGACATGGCTTCATTATTCTTGATTTATGTATCGAAATTTATTAAGGTAAAGGTAATTCTTATAATCTAAAATAACTTAAGAAATTTCTCTCGAGTTTATTAACATTTAATAAACATCTATCACAATTATAAATAAAATAAATATATTAATTGGATATCTCTTAAGAAGAATCTGATTATATGAACTTTTTTATTTCTATTTGGGAACTGAAAATTCCTCCTTAAAAATTTATTAAACTGGAATTATAGAAAATTCCCTCACTTTGTTTAACGAATTTAGAAATGTCCCTACAGATTGGGAGTAAATCTTCCTTTTATATATAATCTTCTAAAATTTCTTCATTAATACCCATCATTCTTAGAAAATCAAAATTCATTTTTTTCTTTATTCCAACCAATTATCCATCTATAAAAAGAAAATTCAAACATTCATATGGTTTATTAATATTCTCTTCAAATATATTTCTATTATTTTAATTTATCACTTCATAAGGTAATCGATTGTAAAAATTCATCATCTCATCATCTTATAAATTATGTCTTCCCTAAAATCCAGTATTTTGATCAAAAAATGATAACTTATATTCAACGGATTCATTATCATATTTTCTTTCTAAAATTTTACCCTTCATTAAAAATTTGTCGATCAATAATGCTCCTAATGATCGACATGAATATCCATTTCTTTTTTATGATTATACCATTCTTTATAAATAAGTAATTTAGTATAATGAATTCCCTTACTCTATTTGATTTAGACGAGCTAAATTAATGAATCATAATTACTTTTACTCCATTTAACAAGCTAAGTTTTCTATTTGGTTATAGGCTTTTGCAAAATTAATGAAGACCTTTTCTTCTTAAGCTCCTATTATTTGGAAGATGAAACCAAGGAATGTATTGATGTCATAAGATGCAAATATTAAAAAGTATGATAAATACTTAAAACTGGCAATTATGAATGCCCTTTTAAAAGTCATAATTAATTACAAATTAATAGTAATTAGCTAAAGCGAAGATTTGTAATTAATATATAATATAAATGATTAATTTTATAAATATAATTTATGTTAATAATTTTTTTGTGGCTCATTATTCGATAAAATCAAAATGATTTCTTTTTTCTCCAAAAATACTCACTTCAAATTCTATTTATATATATTTTGTTAATACCTAATATTAGTTTTCTTATATTATTTTAACATAATTATTTACATTATTTCATATAACATAAATACTTAATATTTTCTTTCAACAAAGTATTAATAAATTTATCACAGAAGTTCATAGATATATTCGAATGTATTTGAATCTTGCCATCTTACTAAAAGGTTTGATTTAATATTTTTATTAATAAATATTAAATAATTAAATTATAGTATTATATTCAAATTAAATATATATAATCCTATATATAATTCTTCATCTAATTTAATTAATAAATATATTTTCTGCACGACCTCTAGCAACTTTCATTTTTACCCAACTGAATAAAGATAATGTAAAATTTTAACTTCTAAAAATAAATTAAATTATAAACAAATTGTTAAATCAATGTTGTTTCCAAGCTTAATACTACTTTTAAATTCTATATAAAATTTCTATTTCCTCAATTCTTTTCCTATCTTCGTAATATTTCTGAAAATTTATCTATATACAGCAATCCATTTATGGTTTTTTAACAATATTTCTGAAACATAAAAATATTATAAGATCATAGACAAATATCGTATCAATTTTCTTTTCATTGTATATTTGGTGTTTATTAATAGGTTTTTAAGTTTCTAAAATTTATTAATATATTGGTTCTAGTTGTTAAGCTAAAATTAAAAACAATTCTTTAAAATTATCATTTATTGCCATAATCAAGTATTCATTTTCTTCTATACTGCTATCTTTATAAGCATCTCCTCTTTCTGTAATAGAGAACTTTTTTAATTGAAATTAAGCATCATATAATTAGTCTTTCCATTTTATGAATTCTTTCCTAGAGATATCAAAATCTCTTTAAGTACTCTATCTTATTTTTTACAAATCATTTTAATGATATTCAGAAGTCATTAATTCTAGCCAATCCTGTGGATCAATCTCTATGATACCTGCTTCATTGCAATCAAACAAAAGCATCTAATTTATGGATGATAAACAAAATAAATCCTTTTGTAAAGTAAAAACATAGACTTGATATATAAATCTTCAGGTATCAAATTTGCTGAATCAGTTTTTTTTTAACTTTCCAATTCCTTGGCTACTTGATATTTTGCTTTTCTAGCTCTATTCAAAATATTTTAATGAGCCAAATAATTTCTATTAATAACTTTTAGATTTACAATGTCTATATTCTTCCATATTCTTATATTTCATCCTATTCTTTGTCTGATAAACTTAGACTTCCACTTTAAATTACAAAATTATTTAAAGTCAAATCTTCAACTGAATCTTATGTTGATAATATATATATAGGATCTTATTCAATTTTTATAGCTTTATGATTGAAGAATTCCTACCATGAAATTCTGCTATTTTCATCAATAACAAGCATTCTTTTTAAAAGATCTNTTCATAGATATATTCGAATGTATTTGAATCTTGCCATCTTACTAAAAGGTTTGATTTAATATTTTTATTAATAAATATTAAATAATTAAATTATAGTATTATATTCAAATTAAATATATATAATCCTATATATAATTCTTCATCTAATTTAATTAATAAATATATTTTCTGCACGACCTCTAGCAACTTTCATTTTTACCCAACTGAATAAAGATAATGTAAAATTTTAACTTCTAAAAATAAATTAAATTATAAACAAATTGTTAAATCAATGTTGTTTCCAAGCTTAATACTACTTTTAAATTCTATATAAAATTTCTATTTCCTCAATTCTTTTCCTATCTTCGTAATATTTCTGAAAATTTATCTATATACAGCAATCCATTTATGGTTTTTTAACAATATTTCTGAAACATAAAAATATTATAAGATCATAGACAAATATCGTATCAATTTTCTTTTCATTGTATATTTGGTGTTTATTAATAGGTTTTTAAGTTTCTAAAATTTATTAATATATTGGTTCTAGTTGTTAAGCTAAAATTAAAAACAATTCTTTAAAATTATCATTTATTGCCATAATCAAGTATTCATTTTCTTCTATACTGCTATCTTTATAAGCATCTCCTCTTTCTGTAATAGAGAACTTTTTTAATTGAAATTAAGCATCATATAATTAGTCTTTCCATTTTATGAATTCTTTCCTAGAGATATCAAAATCTCTTTAAGTACTCTATCTTATTTTTTACAAATCATTTTAATGATATTCAGAAGTCATTAATTCTAGCCAATCCTGTGGATCAATCTCTATGATACCTGCTTCATTGCAATCAAACAAAAGCATCTAATTTATGGATGATAAACAAAATAAATCCTTTTGTAAAGTAAAAACATAGACTTGATATATAAATCTTCAGGTATCAAATTTGCTGAATCAGTTTTTTTTTAACTTTCCAATTCCTTGGCTACTTGATATTTTGCTTTTCTAGCTCTATTCAAAATATTTTAATGAGCCAAATAATTTCTATTAATAACTTTTAGATTTACAATGTCTATATTCTTCCATATTCTTATATTTCATCCTATTCTTTGTCTGATAAACTTAGACTTCCACTTTAAATTACAAAATTATTTAAAGTCAAATCTTCAACTGAATCTTATGTTGATAATATATATATAGGATCTTATTCAATTTTTATAGCTTTATGATTGAAGAATTCCTACCATGAAATTCTGCTATTTTCATCAATAACAAGCATTCTTTTTAAAAGATCTTTAGTTGGTTCTGATAATGTACATCCTTCAAGAATTAGATTATCAACTTTAAACAATTAATTAGTTGAATACCTTTTTATTAAATTTTCTTTAATAATTTTAAAGGGTTGACTTCTTCCCATGGATATTCTCTAAATAACATAAAATAGAATGTAACTCCCAAAGACCACATATCACTTAAACTATTATAAGATTCTTATTTAATTATTTGTGGAGACATGAAAACTAGTGTGCCACTAAAAGTCTAAAATTTTCCACTCTGATTTGATTAATCCATAACTTTAGCTAAACCAAAATCAGCAACCTTTACTTATCCATTATTCAATAATAAGTTTTATAGTTTAATATCTCTATGTATAATCTTTTAACTAACTAAATATTTGAATGCTGAAGCAATTTATCTAAAGAACACAACAACAACTTCTTCTGAAAGATTATGATTCAAAATAAAATCATCCAAAGCACCTTAATTACAGTATTCTGTAACCAAATACATAAACTCTTCATTTTTTTTTGCATCTATAAAACCTACAATGTTTAAATGAGTTATTTTTCTTAAAACATTGATTTCTTGTAAAAGTGACACTGTTACTTCAGGAGAAGAAGCTTTTACAGGAATTTCCTTTATGGCTAAAAAGATTTTTTCATTCCCTGTTACTTTAGCATAAAATCCCAAGTAAACAGTACCGCAATTTCCTTTGCCCAATTATTTTTGTGTATCTATCATATATTTATCAATCTAAATGTAGCGAGATTTCATTTTTTATATTTATAATATTGATAATAAAAATTTAACACTATTAAATTAATAATAATATTTCTGTATTATCTCCATTAAGGGTAATTATTAATTAAACAAACTATTAACTAAAATCAATCCAAAAAGCTAATTGTAGACAACTCAAATTAATAAATTAAATATCTCTATGTTCTCAAGCTTGATCTATTATTCAAAATAAAATAAATAAAATTAGATATACACTGTATTGGTTATTCTATATAAAATCTTGATGTTTTCAGCAACCTTTAGATTTTGATTTTCAAAATTGAAAAAATATTAAAAAATGAAGATCTTTTAGTTTTAAATATTCTAAATTGTATTGATATACAAAATATTTACTAAATCCATATCTGAGGAAATTAAAGGTTTATTTACTAACAAATCTATATATACATATATGCCTTACAGGATCTACTCTAATACTTTTAAGCCCAATCAGCATGTTACAGGCTTCTTGAAATAAGCTTTTTAAAAAAATTGAAGACTTGTATCTTAATTTAAGTAATTAAACAGAAATCATTTATTTAAACTTTTTTATCCTTTCTAATACTAAATTATATTATATAAATTATCCACATAATCAATTTATAAACACATAAATTTATCATTCAAATATAAAATCATCCTAGTTTTTATTTATATCTTAAATCATCAAATTGAGAATGTCAAGATTGTAACCGGCTATTTTTTTCTCCTTCTTAAAATAAATTTGCAATTAAGTTCTAATATTTAGAACTTTCATCATAATTTCATGTGAATTGAATCCAAATCCATCAATCTTATTGAAAATATATGTTATTAATTTATTAATGATTATGGGATATTATTTTAAAGCAATATCTTAATTCATTTCATTAATTAAAGTTACTAAATGTTAATGATGTAAAAATTTCATAAGAGAACTTAAATCTGAATTTTAGAGATTATCAAATAAATATTCTGTTACATTTTTATTGTAGAATAAATCTTCATTAGGAATTTCACCTAATTCTATAGTTTCTCTATATTATTTAATCTTTTCCAATATATCCATTAATTATTCAGTTTCTAATAACTTTTATTATCCAATTTAAACTAAAGTTAAATCTTTTTTCACTTAATCTTATCCTTAATCAAATCCAGTTTATTATTTATTTTTATTTTATAATTCCTACATTAATTATTCTTGCATTCTCTTTTCTTCTTCTTCTGAAACAAATATTTATTCTTTGGTTTAAATATATTTCCTAATGACTCCATTTTTTGTAGCTGAATAAAACAAATCTCCAATACATCCTATAACCATTGATTATATTCCAACTAAGGCTTCATTAAATTGTAATATTAATTAATATGTATCTCCATCCCAATATTTTATTATATTATCTTTGCATCCACTAAAGAAATAGTGAGTATCATTTACTGTTTTTATTTAAACAACTTCAGCAGTATGTGCTTTTAGAGTTTTCTTACAATTTCCGAAATCAGTTGCCCATAATTTAATACTTTTATCTGCACCAGCTGAAATTATTATTGTATCATCTGATGTATAAGCAAAAGTTAAAACAGGTAATGAATGTCCATATAATTCAAGATACAATTTATGAGAATCACAATAATAAATTGATACAATATTATTCATTTGTGCAAATGCATAATAATTACCATCATAAGAAAATTAAGCACTTCTAATATTTTCTTTTAAATAGATAGTATTAACAACTTAGAATTCTAAACACTTTTATGTTTTATTATAAAATAACTCTACAAAATTTACCTTTTTATCTATTTCAGTTGTCATTATTACTAAACCATTAAAAGCCTTACAATTTTCATGGCATTCAATACTATTAATATTTGAATTATGAATTTTTTATTCAAATATAACTTCATTTTGATTCATATCAACTAAATATAAGATTCCTTACTCATCTCCAACCATAAAATATTTATTTTTTGGTAAAATACATAAAGATGTTAAATTACTTGTATTAGTCAGACTATTAATTTATTAAGCAGTTTCATTATCAAACTAATAGCATTTATTTGATGCTATTACTAATAATTTATGATCATTCTATGTTAATTTAATTTATTTTATTTATCCTGTAATCTATTAAATAGCTATATTATTATTTTCATCCACATTATCATTATTTAATTCTTTTATTACTATTTAATTATCAGATGTGAAAATAAATATTTTTAATAAATTTTTGAATATTATAGCTTAAAAATATACAATCTTATTTAATTAAGATATGACAGTGCTATATATTAAGGATTAACTAAAGTTTTCAGCTTTTTGCAGTTTTTTTCCTTATTTGGATTTATATACTTCTATTTTCTTTTCATTATCTAAATTATTTTAATCTATTACTTAAAATCAATAATTTTAATTGAACATATTGGCATTGTATAGCTCTAATAAAAGATTATCTTTTAATAATGCCATCATTTTCAATCTAACATTTGCCTGATATTAATTAACATGATTTAATTAAAACTTCATCAGAATTAGTGCAAATAAGCAAATAATTTTCATAAATACATAAACATGTGACTTCACTATGCATACTTGATAGAGTAGCTACAGAACATTCTAAATTCAAATCCCATATTTTTACTAATCCATCTTTACTACCTGATACAATAAATTATTAAGTAATTGCCAAACTTTAATCTTCAAGGCTAATTATTTCTAAAGCAGTTATTTAGTTTGAGTGTCCTATCAATCTAAATTATAATGATTAATCAGCTAAATCCCAAACAATAATAGATGTGTCACAACTTCCACTTATTAAAACAGCCTCACTCAAAAATACTAATTAGGTTATTTCACTTTAATGGTTAAAAAATCTACATTATATTTCTTTATCAATCAGATTATATACTATTATTTCACCATCATGATATCCTATTGCTAAAGTGTTATCTTTTATAGCAATTTTTGTTATTTTTATATTCTTACCTTCAATTATAATTTATTAAATAATCTCTTGTGTCTTGATATTTAACAAAAGTATATATTAATCTACTATTGTATATGCTAAATCATTTATTATTACTCCTCCATTGTTACCAATACTACCAAAAAGAGTTTCAAACTTATATCCAAAATAGGCTTTTACCATAAATAATAAATTAATTATTTTTAATGAGTTTTAGAGATATTCTAAATTATACTTAAAATGTTAATTAAATAACCAATTTCATAAATGAAGATGAATTTATATTATTTCTAAGTTAATTAATATAATTTCATTTAGAGTATGAATCTATATTCTAAATAATTGAGAGGATACTTATAAATTAGAGAGATGAATATAAGGATATAATATTAAAAGAAATTAGATGACAACTTTTCAGAATATGAAAAATATTTAATTATTATTTATATATTTTATTAATTAATATGGTATTGGCTAAGATAGCATTAGGAACAGCAGGTGCAGTGACTGTTGGATATTTATTTGTTCCACCATTCAATAGAAAACTTGAAAGAAATGTTCTCAGACCAATTAGAAATTATAGAAGACATTTACAATAAGAGGATTCATTTAAAACAGAAGTAATAGTTATCTTTTCATTTTCTTAGGAAGAATTCTATTAATTTTTAGGAAGTGTTGCATTAGGTACCTTGAAAATGTTTACAATCGAAAGCGATTGAATAATTATTACAGATATTAATGTACAATTTAATACAAAATTAAGAAATGTTATTTAATTTATAAAACAAATAAAATTTTCAATATTATTGGTAATTCTTGGAAATATAATACTTATGTCATTCTAACTATATTTTCATAAGATGAGAATAAATTATTAAAAGAATTGAAAACTAATATAAATTATATAGAAAATTGAATGAATATGTGATTTATGTCAAAATTAATTATTCAGAAATCCAAATGAAGATCTTCAGCTACTTCAAATTATCTTTACTAACTTGACCTTAGATTTTTTTTCTATGCTTATTATTGTTTCTTTTTCTTTAAATCTTCTAAAACCTATTTCTCATAATAATTTGGAATATGTTAAAGATATATTTCTTCTTTTAATCTCAAATAACGTTCATCTTTTTCTTTATTTAAAGCAGTTTTAGGGGCAAAAGTATTATAAGCATTTCCAATAAAGTTGATATTATTTTGCTAGTAGTTGGTAGGAGTTCCTTAACCTTTATTCTAGGTTTACTAATTTATAATACTATGAGGATTTGAGGATTTTGAGGCTCTTTTAGGAATTTATTAATTTGTTAAAGGAATATTTGAATTTTTCTTTTTAGGAATAAATTAATATTGATGACCTACTGAAGGATTTCTAGAATTTGGTTAATCTTGAATAGTTCTGTGAAGTTATTAGGGATTATTATAAGAATGTTTAACACTAATACTTTTAGATGAAATCTTTGGTTAAAAAATATCTTTTGGATCATTCATATCAAATTGTCTCATATAATCAGAATTTTAATAGTCAATTTAATCATGTTAATTGACTATTTTTTCCTCTGCGAATTCTACTGAATCACTTTTTAATTTTTAATTCTTTTGAAGTTCAAACTCATGTTCAAAATCATCTAATTATAAAAATATTTGTTTTTTATTTTTATTTCCATCCTTTCTTTAAGAAATTTCATTGTCCTCATTCTCAAAATCAATAAGTTATAGTGATTATTTTTTCTAATCCTCATTCTGAAAATCTAACATTTATTATTATTATTATTCTTCAAATAATTTAAGTCTTTATTCTTCTTCCTCTTATAAAATTTTCAGTCTTTATTATTCTTCTTATTCTAATAATTAAATTCTTTTTTAATTTTCTTCTTCCTCCTATTATTATTTTCTTAATTCTTCCTCCTTCCATAATATTTATTATAATTCTTATTACTATCTTATTTCTTCCAATTATTTTAATCTTAAATCTTCTTCTTCTTATTTTTTTAATAACTCTTATTATAATCTTTATTTTTCTTACTCTTACATAATTCTTAATTCATGTTCTTCTTTTTCTTTTTTTATTTATTCTTCTAATTTTTTTTATAATTCTAATTCTTTTTATTTAAATATTCTTAATTCTTCTTCTAATTTTTATTGCTCAAATCTTTCCATTTCAGCCTTATTTTTTTTCTCAATCTCTAATTTTTCCAATTCTTATTCTCTTAATAATTTTTCTTGTAATTAAAGTTAAAATTTAATCTTTTCTTGCTTTTCTCTTTCTAACTCTTATTTTAATTCAAATTCCCTTTATTCTTAAAGTACTCTTTATCTTTATTATTCTTCTAATTAAGATGTCCATATTCTTTCTTTTTCTTATTTTTCTAATAATATTTCTCTTTCTCTTCTTTAAGTTTCCTATATTAATTCATTTGCCTTAATTCTTTCAGCTTCTTCTAATTATTTCTTTTCATCTTCAATTCTTTATTTTTCTAATTATATTTATATTAATTATTCTTGATACATTTCCTCTTTTAATTTTTATTCTTATCTGAATTATTCCAACTTTAATTCTTCTTCTTTTTAAATTTTTAATCTTTCTTCCTCTAATTTTTATTTTAGTATATCTTAATCATCTTAACCTTAATTATTTTTATCAATATCAATTTTATCAATAACAATTTCAATAGTTTTATTTTTTTTAAATCTATCATTTTTAGTAGAAATATTTTATGGAGTATTTAATTAATTATTTTTGTAATTTAGATTATTATTACATTCTAATTCTGAAGAAAAATTTAAATCTTAATGTGAATCAGTTTACATAAATTTTGGTTGAAATTCTTCTGGATTTTAAAATTATAATACTTTATAATCATGAAAGAAATCTTTATCTTAAGAAGTTTCATTTAAAGGATGTTAAAGTTATTCTTCAATTGAAGATAAATTAAGTGATTATTCATCTGGATTTTTTGTTACTTTTTTATTTTAAATAAATTCTTCAAAGTCTTTCCTTTACTAACTTGTTTATGAGTCATTATTTTGAGTTCTAAAGAAGGGTCCATCTTCAGGAACAACACTATGTTTTTTACCAGGTATGATAACTTCAGAATTATTTTTCATTAAAAATTATTTCTTTTAATTATTTGTAGAATTAATCTTTTAAGGTTCTTCTAATTATTAATTTTGAACTTCATCATTAAAATTAACTTCTGCTTATTCACCTAATTAATCTGCTCCCTATTATTCTGATTGTCCTGCAATAAAAGATTATCCTACAACATAATTTAATGCTTGAAGTCCATTTTCTTTAAAATAATCTTCATTCTTCTAAGATTCCCATATAATCGAAATAAATATGACAAAAGTGACAATAATGCAATCAATAGTTGAAACATACAATTAATCTTTCTCATCATAATTGTTTAATATAATAGCTGAAGCGACAATCATAGGCAAAGTAATTAAGAAAATACTCAATAAGGAAATTATATTGAAAATAAGAAATTTCTAAATATCTACAATACAAGCTTTAAAGAAATAGAAACCAAAGTATCTAGAGAAATATATTTTATTAATCTTAAATGTTGTTATTAAACCTATAAATGATATCAAAGCATATGTAATTTTATTAACTTGTCTACTATTTAACCATTATTAAAAATAAGGATCATTATAGATTGCACATCTTGATGATATTAAATGTATGAAATTGAGTAAATAATTAATTCCTAAAGCCCCCATAATAATATAATTTTATAGATTGAATAATCCCCATTCTTAATAACTTAGATATAATAATACACATTAGCTTCCCCATTCAAATAAACCTCCAATTGATGTTACTGCACCTGGAATAAAAGTTTCAGGTTTAGTAATTCTGGCAACTATAACAGTTGTAGTGAATACTAATGTAAGGATAGTGCATGGCATTGGTATGAATTTATCTGTTTATATGCTTTCTAGAACTTAAACAGTGGAATTACAAGCATCATCTTTTGAATTAATAGTACAAAGAACACAAGTACCAATAGATTCATAATAGCCTGTTGGACATGAAGATATACAGTTACCATCATGGAAAATTTTATTAATTTAAGTTTAAAGACATGTAATACAAATAGTAAGACTTGAACATTTAAGACAAGGTGATATACATTACTTACATTCATTTATAGTAGTATCTGCATAATAACCATCATCACAAACACTAAAACAATTATTACCACTAAGATATGTATTACTTAGACATGAATAACAAGTATCTGGTGTTGTCTTACAAGATTTACAAGGTTATCTACAATTGATACATGTTCCATTTTCAGGGACTTGATTTTCTGGACATTCTGTATTACATTAGTTGTTATAATAAAATAAGATAGGAATCTAATCCACACAACTTAAACATGATGTGCTTGAATTACAAGTTTTACATGGAGATACACATTATAAACATTTATTTGATACTTGATCTCCATAATATCCATCTTCACATTATTTAACACATTAGGATTCTGTATTCAAATAAGTAGTAGAAACACATGATAAACAATTATCAGGAGATGTACCACATAATAAACAAGGAGTTCTACATCCTACACATGTTTTGTTTTCTTCAAATAAATTAGTTGGACAAGATGTTAAACATTAATTGTTATATTATATTAAATTATCTTTGCATTTAACACAACTAATATTATCCAAACAAGTCAAACATATATTTAAACAGGATTAACATTATTAATCCTATTAATAATATCCATCTTCACATTTAGAAACACAAGTAGATTTGAATAAGTATAAATTATCTTTGCAAGAAAGACAATTAGTTTTATTGGAACAAGTATTACATGGATCTATACAAACTTAACATTAAAATTATTAACTATCTTTGTAATAACCTTCTCCACAATCTGTGACACACATTTAATTTAATAGATAAGTATTTGGATAACATTCACTACATGTATCAGGTGTAGTTGTACATTATTTACAAGGATTCCTACATTAAACACATTAACCTTTTTCAGGAGCATAATCTTAAAGACAATTAGTGTTACATGAATTATTGTAATAATATAAGACAGGAATTTATGTTATACAACTTAAACATGATGAACTTGACTTACAAGTTTTACAAGGTGTTTTACATTATTCACATTTGTTAGAATTAATATCACCATAATATTCATCTGGACATTATCCAATACATTGATAATTATATAAGAATGTATTATTAACACAACTTGTACATCGAAATTAGTTAGATTCACATGTATTACATGAGAAACTACATTATTAACATTTACCATTAATAGCAAAATATTAATCTGGACATTTATCTAGACAATCATTTAAATGAAATAATAAATTGTCTTAACATAAATCACAAGTAGTTCCATTACTACAGGTTTTACATTTACTGAGACAATCAATGCATTAAGAACCATTTAGATATGTACCATCTTTACATAAAGATATGCAAGTATTATTATATAAATAATAATTGGTTTTACATGAAATGCAATAAGAAGTTTAATTTTGACAAGTTTAACAATTATTTGTACAAACATCACATGTTTATTATTATTAATTAGTTATTGTAATATTCACAGGACAAGTATCAACACATGTTTATTGATACAAGTAAAAATTAATACTACAAACTGAACATGTAGTACTATTAGAACAAGTATCACAATTATTTATACAATTTTAACATACTTATTAATTATTATAATAGGTTTTTGGACATGATTCTAAACATTTATTATTTAAAAATTTATAGGTTCCATTACATTCCAAACAATATGAATTTATATCTTTACATTTCTTACATTCTGGATTACATTATTTACAAATATATTCTCCACTTGTAACATAGTATCCATCAATACTATAACAATCTGTTATACATGTATTTGAATTGCTCATGAAATATATCTTGGATTAAACCAAATTACTTCTGCTGCTATCATAACAATTTGTACATTTAGTTAATATTGTTGAATCACAATCTTTACAAGGTAAAGTACATTTATGATTATAAGTACCAAGTTAACTAGTATCCATTTAATAATCTTATATTATTTAAACATCATATGTATTTATTGAAAAATAAGTACTAATTGTTGCTGAATTTGGATTTTATAAATTCATTATTTTAAATGAAAATGTAGATATTTTTGATCCAGAATAACCTGTTATAATTATACTCTAAGAATTTATACTAATTGAAACATCATTAGGTAAATTTTAAATATTTTATAAACTAGTTGGAGTTGTCTCAGTTGATTGAAATACTTTTATATCTACAGGAATATTTATTACTATTTTAAAATTATCACTTAATTAATTATTAACTTCAATTGTAAATAAATAATTATCTAATTAATTTAAATAACCATTTTCATATGTTTAAGTAAATGATTTAATAGAATTAGTTTAAGTATTAGTTATAGTTAATGAATCTTTTAATTAACTTTGTTTTGTTAATTCATTTGTTAAATCTTAAATTGTATGAGCACTAGATATTGTAACTGGTTTAAAAGAAGAAGGATTAATAATTTAATTTGTTGATATCTTATAATCTATATTTTTTATTATAGATGAGCAAGTACTACAAAGTAATTGAATTTATAATTTTGAATTTGAAATAGAACAAGGTAGATTTGTTTACAATGGAGAAATTGATTAACATGATTATAGATCAATAGATAAATCATTTGGAATATCTATTATTAAATATATTCCATTTATCTAAGTGACTTAAAAATTAATATTAAAAGTATAAGTATTTTTGACTCCATTCATTTAAGAAGCTCTTGATGAGAGAGTTAATGAAAATGTTGATAAATATAACATTTAAATATTACCACCTTATCCACTATCTATCAATAAATCCTAATCATCATATGTTTTTATTGTTACTACATTACTAAAGAGTTGTAAAGTGATAGGATTTGAAATGAAAGAATTAATTTTTAATTTAATATTAGTATTACTACTAATACTTGTTGATGTAATAATTTTAATAGTATTAGTAGTAGTTGATGTACATGTACTACTAATTCCATTTATTAAACAACTAGTAGGATTACCACTCATAGTAAAATCAGATATAAAATTTACAATTATATATCCAAGTGCAGTAATTGTATTTGTATTAATTAAACTTAATTCATAATTATCTAATTATCCAGTAATATAATTATCTACTTTTATTGAAATTGAATTACTATCCAAAGATCCTGATGCAAATGAACTCATTTAAAATGTTGTATGTTAATCTACTAAAAAGTCTTCAGTACTTTTTGAATAATAGGATTATACTGTAAATGAATTACTTATATTAGCACTAAACTAATTTTTAATTTAAGATATTTAAAATTTGATTTATGTAGAAGCAGCGATATCAGATGAATATAATGATGAAATTATTAGTCTTTAACTAGAAACACTATATTAAGCATCATAAGTTTATGAGTTTATTTAATAGTTTTGTATTTTAGTTATTTAAGTTAAATCAAATTAAGTTGGAAATTAAATAATTAAATATCCATCTGAAGATAAAGGATTTGTTAAAACTATAACAAAATCATAGTCAGATAATTAATTAATTACTTTATTCAAAGCAATTATTGAAACTGAATTTATTACACCATTTGATGCTGTTATAGTTAAGCTTGATATGCTCTTATCAATAATATAAGAACCTCTATAAGTACTAATAGCAACTGTTGATGATGGTTTAATTGAAGGAGGAGCAACTACATTAACAAATGTTAATAAAATATTTGTAAGAGTTGAAGAAAAAGCCTTGCTTGATGTTATTGTAACTAATTGATCAGTTATTGTAAATGAGGGTGAATTAATTGGAGAAGTAAAGAAATAGCTTCTTGAATCTCTTATTTGAGTTAAAATAGTTGAACTTATTTTTAATTCTTTTGGAATAGTAATCTAAATAGTATCTCCTATTAATATTTAACTATTTAATTGAAATTACACATTTAATCTTTCTACTTAGTTAACTACATTTGTCCATGTCATACTACTAAGTACTACAACATTTGGTACCCATCCACTTATTGTTGATAATGAACATTCATCAATTAATTTATTATTTGAATTATAAGTTTATAAAATGAAACTTCCATCAGGAGTTGTTGATGATGGGGAATTGACTCCATTAATCACTAGAGTAATCTAATATAATACATATCATACATTTTATCCATTGAATCCAGTTCCTAAAGTTGACTTTATTTATAAATTAGTAGCATCCTTTGTACATGTAGTACCTGATATAAATATATTATTTGCATAGAGTTAACATGTAATTGACCCTGGAATCATTTCTTTTGTAATCTTATCAATCTACCAATTACGAGTATACTTTACAATCAAATAACTCTATTTTAATTTAATAATTTACTTCTACAATTAAAATGTTCTTTACAAACATTTACAATGAAATATCTGTGTTTTAGCTATTTACTTTAAATTATTATCCATCACCTGAACATGTTCCAACTCCTGGATTTACAGTTGGTTGAGTTCCTCCATTTGGACACTATTCTAATAATGTATTACTAGAACTCATAATTGATATCTAAATTGGACTATCGTATTTCCCACTATAAGCTGGATTTAAAATAGATTTTAATTCAATTATAAATGTAAATCCTTCTGTCTTATCATAATCTACATTTGTATAATCTTTGATAAAGTAATTGCGCACAATAATTCTTGTATTTGAAACATAACTACAACTTATTAACTCAGCTTATTCATTATAACATGTATAATCGCTATTGATATTCCAAGGAAAATCAATTTGAATGTAATAATTTGTGTATAAATTAATTGGATGTGTTATTGAATCCCCTTATCTATTTATTTTAAATTGGTAATCTCCTTTCTAATTTATTTCACCAGTAGTCTTAACTTCACATAAGTAAAAGTCTTTAACTCCTGAAACAAACTTTATTAATATAAGGAATATTTGAATTGTCATGTTCAAAATAATTATAATATTTATTTATAATCCAAATCAAAATGATCATTATTTAGACACCATTTCTCCGTTTTTCGAAATATATCATTGTTATTTAAAATTAACAAGAGTGATAAGTATCAGATCAGATGTTTTTAAAATTTTTATTCTATATAAAATCTAAAATGAATATTGAATAATTTTAGTATTGTAGATTTCCTTAATTTCTGAAATTTATATAAACTTTATTAGACAATTTTTTTGATCTAATTGAAAAAGATGAATAAATTATCTAATTAAAGGTATTTTACTAATGTCTATTCTAAATCATATTACATTAGAATGACAAAAAAAAAAATGAAGAATTTAATTAAAACATTACAAATTTCAGTTAATAATGATTGATTATAATGAGAAATAATCTAATTATTCATTTGATACAACATAAAAAAATTGAATAATTAATAAATTTTACATTATTTTAAAAAATAGTCTGGATTTAAAATAATGTTAGAACCCTCATTTATTTAATTAGAATAAAAAAGATTATATAATCGTAATCAATTAAAAGTATTAGTATATATAAGAATGTTTCTATATGATGTTGTTATAAAAGATAAAAATTATTTTTTCATAGTAATGAAGATTAATCAATTATTATCTATATTATTACTTTTGCTATTAAAAATAATAAATGGATTAAAAATATATCAAATTTTATTTTTTCTATAGAATAAAATCATATTACAAAAATCTAGAAATGATAATTCTGGCCATTTTTTATCTATAAAATGAATTACTGTATTCTCTCGTATTTAATATAATAAGAAATTGCTTAGTCTAGTTTCACCAGAAGTTCTTAAGAGAATAGGAGAATTAGGTACCATTAAATAAGAATTCATTTACAAAAAGAATTCTTTTTTTGTTAATCCTTTTGGCATTGATTGAATAGCTTTTTCTAATTCATTTGTGAAATTATATGAGAAACAAATATTTAGTCTAATCGAAAATTTATGATAAGTTTTACTTATATTAAGAATATTTAGAACTGTAGTTTTCAAGCTCCAATAATTTTGATTTTAGCTCTTGATCTTTTAAGATATCAAGATCTCCACAACATTTAATTTTAACTTGATTTTTATCTATAAAATTGAGATCATGTTGTAAATGATGCATTTTTTATTTCATTAATTCCATGAGAAATACTACTTCATCATTTTATCTATTATAATTCTCAATACTAAAAGCAAATACACTAATTTCCTTAATTCCTAATTTTTAACTCCATTATAATAAATTCAAAAAAGATTGATATCCTTGAATGTGACCATCTGTTGGTTCCATTTTCCTTTGTTTAGCATATCGTCTACATCTAACCTATAAAATACCGATTACCATCCATAATCACACCTACGTGGTTTGGGATATTACCTAGTTTTAAAAATTGAATGAAGGAACTTTGTACAATATTCATTTATTTATCGTAATTAAATTTCAATTTAATTTATATTGATTATTTGTACACAACATATATATGTGACATTATATTATTTTATCTAAATAGATTTATTATTTAGATGAATGAAAATTAAATTATATTTAAATTGTAATTTATCTTAAAAAAAGATTTTGAAAATGAAAAGATAAAAATAACTAATAATTATTTAATTATTTGTCATTAATTTTATTCCTGTTTTAGATCTGATAATGATTCTGGCTCTCCTTATTATTATGATTATTCATTAGATTTATAAAATGCTCTATCTTTTACTAATTCTGGATGTTTAAGTTTGATATGTTAATTAAGAGATCCTTCTGCTCTATTTAATTGATAAATTTTATCTATAATACCCGTATTTTTTTTAGCAATTTTCAACTGGACAAGTAAAGTGTCTTTCTATTTCTTGTGCTGGTCTCCTCAACCTTTTCTTTCTCTCTTCTCCTGTTTCTTCTACATTTGAATTTAACTCCTGATTACGACGCTAAAATTAATTTGGTATTAACATTACTTCTAATTTGTTTAATTTATTGACTAGTTCATTCTTCTCATTCAAAAGTTCTTTTAACTAAAAATAAGTTCAAATTTTACTTGATTTGTTAATACTACATTGGCAATATACAATCTCAAATACTCATTGTAGTATTCTAAATTTTGATCCTATTATGGGACTAAGATTTGAATATGAAAATACCTTATTGTTCATCTTATCCTCCAACATAATTTTAAAATCTCACAGGTTCATCACCCATCATATATTTTGGATTCTCCCCATCAGATCTAATGGAATTGAAAAATAATAATACTTAGCATTACTCATATTAATAATTTATAAAATATTTTTATTAATAATATATATAACTTAAATAAAATAAATATTTGAGATTCAAATAAAAATTTTGTTTTGTAAAAAAAGGTTTAGAATGCAAATTAAAAAAATGATCAAGTTCTTTTTTATAATTTAAGAAATAAATAAGTTTATTTATGAAATAATTATGTTAAATTATTAATTATTAAATTAACGAATATATATATATCGATTTATACAAAAAAGTAAATCAATATTACTATATTAATCACAATATAGTCAAACTATAATGATACACAATATATTTAAAATTAAGTTAATTTATCTCATAAATGTACAAAAAGTGTTAAATATTTAAAATTTAGGAATATGGAAACAACAAAATATTATCAATGGGATTAAAAAAATAAAAGTTTATTTATAAAATACCTCATGTTTTAAAGTCAGTTCATAAATAAATTTAATTGTAATCAATTAGTTTGGATATTATTCTAATAACAGATATTATTAGATTTTCAGACTCTCTTATATTGAATAACATAATTTCCAAAAATGAAAGGGAAAACCCTAGATTCAAATTATTTTAGATAATATTGAACAAATTTATATGCAACCTCAAACGTGAATTCAGTTCATTCGATCAATGATTTTAAACTTAGTATTGTATTTGATGATGATTCAAAAAAAATAGTTTATATTTAATTAATATGAATTATATGATAATTATATTATCATAAAGAAAGAGTACAAACAAAAGAGTATAAGTTTTCAATTTTATCATATTCAGTTAGAGAATATTGTGCTGCTGTCAAAGGGATTTCATGGTGTCCTTAATTATAAAAATACACTTATAAGTTGAGGTGGATTAAATTATAAAATTATCAAATTTTGGAATGCACTTATTGGCATTTGTTTTAAAAAGCATAAGCCTAAGGATCACATGTTTGGACTCTATATTCTTTATTAAGATATAGAGTATGGATATCATCTTTTTGATTTTCTAATAATTAAATTAATATATGAAATGTTAACTAAATTTAGTAAGCCAAATTAATATAATAATTATAAACACATAATTAGAGAGTTATGCATTTAAGTATGTCTCTTTATTAATTTATGTAATATTCAGTTGGCAATGATGAATTTTTAATTTTTTGGAGGCTTAGTTCATAACAGAATAATTAAATAAATAGGATAGGTGTACCAGTAAAAATTTATATCTCAAATGATATTACTATTTTTTTAAGAAATTATATTATAAATATTATTTATCTAATTGTTATGATTCGTAGAGATTCTGGTGAAATGTAATAACATGCTTTTAGCCAACTTAATTTTAGCAAATCGACAAAAGAAATTCAAACTTCAAGAAAAGAATATTTATTCTAAAAATTACCTTCTTTAGATTCTACTTAGACCAATAATTCTTGGCAAGTCAGAAAAGGGGGATCTGCAAATTGCATAGATATTGATAGAGTAAATTCAGCATAGAAATCTCTAACTCCCCAATAGTAAAAAAAGAAAAAAAATTAATCAATATAAATAGAGGAGACATCTTAATTTGATCTAGGTTCTAGTAGAAATTTTCAAAGATTATTTACTATTAAGAATCATACTAAATCTAATACTGGCAGTGTAAAAACTTCAAGAGAAGATAACACAGGTGGATTCACAAATCAAGTTGTGTTAAGAAAATCACATTATCATTAGTCCTAATAAATTTAATAATCATAATAATAAGTTTAATAACAACAATGTCCATTTTCATCTGGCAAATCCATCAAAGACCTCTTATCATAATTCACAGATAAAAAGTATTAATTTAATTTTATATAGGCCAAAAAATGGAATAACACGTCATAGTGAATTTGAAAAAATGGAAGGTTTAGATGATTATACCAAAGAATTAGGCATTATCTTAAATGATGATGATTTAATTGGACCTATTCTAAGAGAAGTTGCTGAAATGAAAGGAGTAGTTAAATCACTAATTGATTTAAGTAATGGTAATAAACTTACTTATCATTTTGAAACTTTAAAACAATTACATTCAACTCTAAATATAACTGATCAAATGTTCAATAGATTTAAATATCTCTATCTTAAATACTTAATTTAATTGAAAGTAAATAGAGAGACAGTCTTTAAATGTGCTTAAGCAGTTGAATTCTATAGAGGAGCTATCGTCTCTGAGGTAATTTCTCTATATTATCCATTAGTCTCGTTCTGTATAAAATGTTAAAGATAACATTAGAACTATTGCCAAAAATATGTATAGTCAAATCTTTGAAGATTTTTCACTTAGTCCATTATTTAAAGGAACAAAATAAGAAGAATAAGCAATTAAATTTAGTAGGATTTTTGGATTTATTGTTGGATCAGCTGAATCTACAAATTATGTTATGGATTCAATGAGAGATTTTCATAAAGGATTTGAAATTACATCAGTTCAATATTCTATATTTAAATACTATTTATCAGGTTCATTATCAAAACATACTTAAAAAGAAGTCATTTGGTATATTTTAGAGTAAACTGATGCTTATAAAGCAGCTGTTATCAATTAAGATAGTATTAAAGATTTAGTATATAAATAATAAGGAATAGATAATTTTACTACTGAATTTATCAAATTATGTTAATAAGATTAATATATATATAAGAATTTTATACATAAAGTTGGATTTGATTCATTTATAGAACATACTAAGTATTTTTTGCACTATGCTTTTAATAAATAAAATAATTGTTTTACACTTGAAGATTTGTAATCATTTCATTGTTAACATTCAATTAATCTTAATTTATATCAAAGTATTAAAGAAAAAATGATGATCTTATTAACTAAATTGAATCCACAAAGAGTAATATTTCAAGACTTTGAAGAAGAATTTGATTTGATACTTCCTTACATAACAAATTAAAAATTACCTTGTGATATTGTAGGTTAAAGATTATGTGAATTTATTCCAATAATTTCTGATGAATTGAAATCAAATGTAGAAATTAAGAATATCTTTGATAGTAATGATGCAAATGTAAATAAAGTTGTTTTAAAGAAATTTGAATATTTATTATCAGGTAGAAAATATTTTAAAAGATCTGATATACAAGCTATCCATTCAAGACTTAAAATTAGTGAATATATATTTGAAAAGTTTGTTCATCTTATTGAAAAAGCAATAAGGCAATATGATACTTCATTAATGTGGATGGTTGATGCAATAAAGCTTTGGAAATATATTATTATCACAGTATGAACATAAGTTTTATGTTTATTAAATATGTATTAAATTTTATTATATTAATTTGTAAAATATCTCTTAGATTATATTAAAATTTTATATGATATTTTTAATTTTAGTAATTTAAACATTAAAAATTATTTATTTATAAAAACAATTTATGATAGTTATTAATAATCAAGATTCAAATCTTTCTAGACTTTCCATATACATTCTATCTAAGTTTTAATTTAATTCTTCTAAATTTTAAATAACAGATTAAACAGATTAATCTTTTCCTTAAGGAGATTTTCTTAACATAGATTAATTTGCAGATCTTGGCTAATATTTCTTACTTAAATCACTTAATAAGGCAAAATTTGTTTAACTTTTTATTGCAGAATTTTTTGAAGGTTTTAACCAATCCGATTTTAATTTATCATAGCTTTAAGAATGGAGGGATTCTTCATCATGTAAAATCTAATTTAATTTAATATTTACATATGGTTTTTAGTTTGTGTTTTATTCTTCTTGTAAAACTGATGATTATAATTATTAAACACTCTATATTAAATGATCTCTTTTTTATTATAATTAATCAATTTAATCAACTAATAATTTAAATTCTTAACCTTTAATTTCAATTCCTTCTTATAATTTTTACAATTAATATTGAAAATTAATGATTTATTCTTATCCTTAATGCATTTAATAATGTGTTTAAGTAGATAATTCTGTAACCTTCTATTCAATTTATTTATTTAAAGATTGTAAATTAGATTATTAAATTTAATATTCTTATTTAATGCTTTGTAAATCTATATTGGCATCATCTACTAATTATTATAATTTAGCTTTATCAAAATTTAATTTTTTCAATTCTTTCTATAAGATGTCAAAATCATTATTTAAAATATCCTTTTATTTTAATTAATCTTATATTTATTTTTCTGTATTAATTAACTATTTTTCTATTTAAAGTAATTCTTACTCTTTTTCTATAGTTAATTATGTCACTTATTATAAATTCTTTTTGCTTTTTAATAAATTATCTTGATTAACTTATAATTAATATTCTAAATTATCTAATTCTGTCCTAAATTTCTATGATTCTTTTTTGATCTACAAATTCTCATTCTTAGATTATTTTATTTTCTCTTTTTCAATATTAGATTCCAATATGATTTTATCATATTTTTAAATTTCTTACTCTTTATCAGCTATAGAATTATTTAATTATTTTAAAACTCTATCTGCTTCTCTACATAATTGTTCTGTATTTTTTAATTTTGAATGACAAATATCTAATTCTTCAAGTAATTATTTTATTTTATTATTTTCATTTTAATATTTGATTTATTAATCCATTATATCTTATTCTTTCTTAGAATGTTCAAATTGTAATTCCTCTATATCTTTACTTATTAATTCTTTTTATGAATTCAAATATTCTATATTATTCAATGCTCTTTATTGATCTTCTCTTATCTAAAAACTAACTTAATATTAATCTTAGATTCTCTATTACAACATTTCAATTTCTTCATTTAATAATCTTATAGATTCTTCTTTTTCTGCATTTGTATCTTTAAGTCTTTCCATTTCACTTTAAAGTTCTTAAACTTCTTCACACTAGATTATTATTATTCAAATTATTACTAATTATTCCTATTATCTTCCAAGTCTAGTTATCTCATCAGATAAACATTTTCTAGCTTCATTTTATTTTGCTCTAAATATTTAAAAATCTTCATTTGATTTTGTGAATTAAAATTCAACTTATTAATGTTACATTTTTAGATCTTCTTTTTATTTCATAATTTATTCAAATTACTCTTCTAATTCTTTACTTATCATATCTTTTTCTTGAAGTAATTATGCTTTTTTATTTTCATAATCTTTCCATTTTTCAGCTAATTATTATGTTTCTATTTCAAAATCTTTTATAAATTAAGCCTTGATTACATTAAATTCATCAATCTTCTTGTATTTCTTTTCTGCTCTTTTAAATAACTTCTTTAAAAGTACAATAGATGATTCTATAGGTTTATCTTAAATTCCTATTTAATTTAATGAATTAGTAGAAACTCTCTAATATAATTCTTAAATTTGATCATGAATTTAAGCAGCTACTTCTTATAATATACTTTCTTAAGGTAACAAGGGTATTCTATCTAAAATTGTTTCTAGTAAATCCACTATGCTTTACAAAACTTATTCTATACTTCCCTACAAAGCCATTTCAAATAAAGATCTTTAACATTTAGTTAAATTTATTTAAAGTACTGCTTGTAGTCTAACAAAGAGAGAATTAATTCTATTCAATTATTCAGTTGGTAGTTTTTCCTTTGGTTATAACTTATAAAATTCAAGTTATTATTTAAGTTCCTTCAAAGCATCATCAGTTTCTTAACGAACTTGGTAATGCTCTTCTAACTAAGATTTTAAAGAAAGAAATGCTTTGTTGGTAACCTGTCTGTCTGTTTCATCATCACTATCAGAATCATTTTGATAGGTTTGAAGTAAATTAGTAGCTCTTTAAATTCTATTTTCTATTTAAGCTATTTCAGCATCAATTTCTTGTTTTTTTAATTAAACCAGTCTAATATTTTATAGTAATTATTAATGATCACTAGGGATTGGTTCTCCATACAATTATCTTGCTATTTCATGTTAATTAGAAATAACTTTATTGTCTAAAACTTATAGTGTAGGATTTAAAAAACATAAATATTCTATATAACTAAATGTTCTACAAAAAGGATTATCACTGATAGAAAGTATTTTCAAATTTAAAAGAGGTTTAAGATTCAATAATTATAGAGGGTCCTTTATTTAATTTCTAGATAGCTTTAATGTTTCTAAAGAATGATTTGTTAAGCTAATCTCAGTTATTTAATTTCCATTCAAATTCAAATTAATTAAAGATGGTAAAAATTCTAATCCATTCATTGATTTGATAAAATTATCAGAAAGATTGAGTTCTTTAAGTGCTGGCAATCTCAAATTCTCTATTGTTATTATATTGTTATGACTAAGGTTCAATTCCTACAGAAGTATTAATTAATCTAAATTTTCTATTTTCTATGTAAAATATTATGATTACACTCAGTTTCATACTTCGCAAAGATAATTTTATTGTTTTACTAGGTTCTTCCCCTTAATTTCTAATAAGTTACTCTGTAATTTTATTATGAGATACAATCATAAAATATAATTAAAAAAATTCAATTAAAAAGAACATGGTTGAGTAATTCTTCAATATTTTTTGTTGTCTTTGTAACTATTAATCTTTAGGCTTTAGTAATATTTTGATTAAACTCATCCTTTTCAATAATTAATTAATGCTATTATTAAACCATATTTTTATTAGAGTTTTAGCTCTTTTTAAGTTTTTATCTTAATTTGAGATGCTTTTCTATTATGGTTTCATTTCTCTTTTCCATTTTATTAGTATAATTATTAAGTAATTCTTATTATTTTTCTTATTTTTATTAACTTAAATTTCTTAACTTTGATTAAATATCCAATAAGCGTTGTTTTGCTTTTGTATTACTTGATATAATTTTATCTTAAATATCTTAAGTAATTGTATTTTCACGTTCTGATTAGAATAGAGATTTGGAAGTTAGGTTTTATTATACTTTATTTATTTTTTTATCTTATTCTTCTTTCATTTTCTAAACAGTATTTTGTATAATAGATTAATTCTATTAAGTCTAAATTGAAGTCTTTTATATTGATTTAACAATTTTTGTGATTACATTTTATTATTATTCTTATTCTTATTTTTATACTAATTCAATACGATCTTGACTAGAAATACCTTATTTAAAATGTTAATTTCTTTAAGATTTTTCCATTGTATTAAATTATAAATTAGTTCTACGCAATTCTTCTTAATCAATAATATTTTTCTTTTTTTCTAGATGATAATCCAATAATTATTATGTTTTTGATGACATCATAACTTTGAATTTAGTTTTAGATTCTTGTAATGATTTTTGGATAGGTTCAAATTTGGAATCAAAATCAAGACTCTTATTTAATCTATCATCTAAATCATCTTCTCTACTTTATTTTAATAGGGATAGTTTCCTTTCAACAGTATTATTATGAACTTTAGCTTTATTAGAAATGGATTTTAAGGTATCCTCTACTTATTTAAAGATTTTATCTGTGTTTTTTTATTATTATTATTTAATTAGCATCTCTGATTGATATAACTGTTTTAGGTCATGATCAAATATTTTTTTGAGAAAATTGAATTACTTTGATTGCTTGGGAGTTGTGAATACAATTTTAATAGAAGGGCCTATAATTTCCCTTCTTCGATTCACTAAAATTGAGAGATTATCTAAGATATGAGTAGAGGAAAAATTGAATTACCTTTTAAAAGTTGCAAATGATTCAGATACATGGCATCAGTTTCATTATGATATTGTAGAAATTCAGAGAGATTTCTTATATGATAATTTACACATTTGTTTACTTAAGTTGACATTGTTATTTAGTTAAATTAAGTTCTTTCATAGCTTATTATGTGCGAGGTGATTCAAAGTTAAGACGCATAAAAAGAGAGTTGATTTCTTTGAGAAGTAACTAGTCTGATTTACAATCCATTTCTGTAAAAAAAGTTTTCATATTAAAATATAATAATAACGGAATGATCGAATTCCGCACTCCTAAGTACATTTGTTTAAAAAAAATTGAACCTCCAGTAATCAGATACTAACCTCGCACATTGTTTGTTAAAGCTTAACATTTATTACAAACTAGAGATAGTGTTGATACATCCTTGACTTTGAGTTAAACAGACGCAAAAATGTAGTCTTAGCAATCAGAAATTAGCAATCTTAGCACATTTTATTAAAGTTGTGATTAAGCAAAAGAGAATAAAGAATAACCAATTATTGATGTAGTACTTAAAAAAACTAATTCATTTCATCTTAATTCAAAATTAAGAAGTAATAATAAAATCTCAAGAGTTTCTAAGAATTAATTGATGGATGTGCTTTAAGAAATAACTTCTCCCACTTAGACTAAGCGTAAATAGGTAATAAGAATAATTGTTATAAGGTTGTGAACAGAGAATGGGAGTATTCATATAGAAAACAATAAGGGAATAGTACATTTTTCTAATCAATGGATTCATCTAACGAATAGGTTACTGCTTTGCCAAAATCTAGGAGTTTTAGTATGAAACAATCAACACAATAATAATCATAATAATTGAAAGATATGATTGATAAAGCAATAAATAATACAAAAAATTTTGATGAATATCTATTAAGTCTTGTGAATGGATGAATTAATTTAAATTTTATTTTTTGTTCTACTTTTTGAATTATTTTATTATATTAAAAACTATTATTTGAATTCTTAAACATGAATAGTAAATTTATTATCTATAGGAAAATCATTCATTGAAGATTAAATTAAAATATAGAATATATATATATAAATAAATATATAAATTTACTTTTTTTCATTTTATTGAATTCATAAATTATAAAGAAAATAAAATAATATAATTCTTAAAAAAAAAATTATATTTTGATATGTAATAACAGCAAGATAAATAATTCAAAACAGTTAAAGTAAAATCTAATTTTCATTAATTTCAATTATTACCTAATAGATAAATTCACAGATATAAAATAGAATTGACTAGTTATTCTGATATTAATGTATAAAATGCAATTACAACATATCGAGAAAAACTATCATAATGTTTAATAACATTTTATTGTATTAATTTTAATATTTATTCACCAACAAAAATTGCATCATAAGTATTAGGAGGATTGAATGAAGGTGAAGAAATTTAAAATGTAGTAACATTAAAATTTATTGAATCTATAGAAAGTGGAGCAAAGCTTCAATAAATATTATCAAGAATTGTAAAGTAAATTATTAGTACACAATAAGGAATGGTTTAAATTGGTAAAGATAAATTATTTTGGCCAAAAAAATCTCATTCATTTCATGAACATAAATTTGAGATTTGGGAGGGAGTACAAATAGTATAAAAACAATTTGGAGTTGTAATTGATTGTGCTTATAAAATATTGAGATAAAATACATTACTTGATGATCTTTTAATAACAAAAGAAGTAGATCGTTATGAAGGAATGATAGTGATGACTAAATATAATCAAAAATTTTATAAGGTTGATCTTATTGAAACTGGAATGTCTCCTAAAGATTTGTTTGTTACAGAAAATGGATAAGAAACTACCTTTAAAGAATACTATAAATTAAGATATAATATAAAATTAACTGATAAATAACCATTAATAAAAACTATGTTAAAACTTAAAGGAAAATAGGAAGAAAAAGTTATTTATCTGATTCCAGAATTATGTTAATTAACTGGTTTAAATGAAACTGTTAAGAATGTATAGATTTTTAATTTAATTATAGAATTTCTCAGTAATGAGGGAAGTAGCTAAAATAACAAAACCAAATGCGTATGACAGAATTGATTTATCTGAAAAATTTGCTAAATAAATGAATTCTACAGTTAAAAAAGGATCTAATGCAAATTTATTAGATACATGGGGTTTGAAATTGAATAATGTATCTATGAATGTTGAAGCTAAAACTGTTCGTCCTGGTACATTAATGATGGGTAATGAAGAAATTGATTTATCTTCATCAAATCTAAATTTAGATTAATAAACATAGAAAAAGATGTATTAAATGCCAGAAAAGAAGTTAGTATGGGTGTTGATTCATTATTATAAAGAAAAAGGATAGGAAGCAAAAAAACTATTGTTAGAAAATATGAAATAAGCCATATCTGAATATTAATTTTATGGGTTTTATTCTTAACCAATAGTAAAATAATTATAAGAAGAGAGAGAAAAAACATTAATTCAATTATGTGATGATATAAATAAAGAATGTGAATAAAAATAATAAAAAATAGAATTTATAATCTTTTTATTACCAGGATAAAAGAGAAATAGTCGTTTATATAGATGTGCTAAATATATATCCTTATAAAAGATTGGTTGTCCAAGTTAAGTTGTTTTAGAAGATACTTTATCTAAAAATACAAGATCAATAATTAATAAAATCATGGTCTAAATTTGTGCTAAATTGGGAGGTGTTCCATGGGCAATTGATAAATTACCAAAAATCTTTTAATAATAACATACAATGATTTGTGCAGCTGAATGTTATGATAGATTACATCAAATTAAACATTTAGCCTTTTGTTCAACTGTTGATAAAAATATGACTAAATATCATAGTCAAATATAAAAAGGGGCTGATTACAAAGGAGACAATTTAAAGAAGTGTTTAATCACTGCCATGGAAATTTACAAAGAAAAAAATATGGTTTTTCCATAAATAATAGTAATTTATAGAGATGGTGTTTCAGATGGATAAATACCTGTTGTTCTTGGAGATGAATTTCCTTAATATGATTAAGCAATCAAATAGATAAATCCTTAAAGTAAATTAGTACTTGTTATTTGTAATAAAAGAGTAGCTGGAAAGTTTTATTAAGCTGGACATAGACCTGATAATCCAGCATCAGGAACTATTGTTGATAGTAAAGAAATTTGTGAAGGATAACAACCAAATTTTTATTTAATTTCTTAAATTACAAGATAAGGCACTTCTTAACCTACATTATATAAAATATTACATTCAGATTTACCTAATATTGAAGATGATATCAAAGTTCTTACATATAAATTATGTTGGTTGTATTATAATTTTGCAGGTCCAATAAAGATTCCAGCTCCTGTTAGATATGCTCATTGTTTAAGTGAATTTATTGGGACTAGATATTAAAGAAATGATAAAGACCCTTTCATTCCAATAGAAGAATTAGTTAAGAAAGGAGTATTATTTTACATTTGAATAATTTAAATTTATATATATGTTAATAAAGGCTCATTCATCATCTAAATTAATTTGACTTCCAAATTTTGCATATAACTTAGCTTTCAAATTATTCATCGATTTTAGTGTCTCTTCAATTTTCTTAGTATCCTCTTCAAATTATTTCTTAATCTTAATTACTTAATCATCTATCAATGTTCTTGCCTTAATTATATTATAAAAGTTCTTTACTTTTTCAACATTTACTCTAATGAAAGAATCACCAAATTTAAATGGAATCTTTTCATCATCCTCCATTAATTCCATTTCATCTTTACTATCTGACAAACGAGTTAATTCATCTTTTCGACTATCCTATTTTTATTATTCAATACGCTAAATTCAATCGAATAAGTTCATGATATTGCATATTCAATCTGCTAAAAGAATTGATTTTCTATTAGTCTTGTCTATCTACTTCAATATTGTCTGTACTTGTAAATTTCATTATTTATAATTTTAATGTGTTGAGTATTATTTAATTGCCTTGCTAGCACCTTCTAAAAAATCAAAGGATGGTTTAAAAATGATAGAGGTCAATGTATATTTTATTTTAAGAACGTCTCCAAGATGATTAAATTAGATAAAGTCCACCTCCATCTATGGTTGATCAAAATCAAAAATATTCATGAAAATGAGAAAGATAATCATTAACTTAATGGTACCTTCTAAAAGTATTTGATAATCCATTACTTTTTTAATGACATTAGTACCTTAAAATTAGAGATACTAATTGATAAAAGATGATTGCCATTGAGTATAATATATATATTTAGTACATAATATTTTAACAAAATACTCTTAATTCTTGACATTTTCTTTTCCAAAATTGTTTATTTTTTTATTGAATTTAATATGATACACAAAAATTTTAATCTTAATTCAGACACAAATATAAAATATATATATATAACTATTAAATATATTATATTTAAATTATCTAACAATTATATGCTCTAACATAATAAATGGGCCTAGATTAGTAATTTAATATAAAATTTAAGCTAGATACTCCTTGTTGGATATTTTATGACTAAAAATTAATTCCTGGAGTTATTCTTTAAATATCCCCATTTTTGATTAAGACTGCTGAAGGTAATATAGCAGATTCCAAAAATGTATATCAAAGAAGTTTAGATAATTTGCAAGATCTTGAAGATTTAATTGATCTATCAATTTTGAATGAAGCTGAAGTTCTTAATGCATTACACTTAAGGTTCTAACAAAAAAAATTTCAAATTTTTTGTGGATCAACTTTTATTAGTATTAATCCTATACAGAAGGAAAACTTTAAATCTTAACAACTTTAATAAGTTACATTAAATACTTTCAATTAAATGATTGACATACCTTAATCAATAATAATGACTGGAGAATCAGGATCAGGTAAGTCTGAAATCAGTAAACAAATTTAATTGTAATTATCAAAATTTGGAAATCTTCACACCAAACTATTGGCTTGTAATTAAATTATAGAAGCTTTTGGAAATGCTAAGACTTAGAGAAATTTCAATTCATCTCGTTATGGGAGAGTTACTAAAATGTTTTTTGATAAAGATTAAAAGTTATGTGGTATTCATATTACTGCTGTTTCTCTTGAAAAATCACGTATATATAATGTACCATAAGGAGAGAGTAATTTTAATATCTTTTATTAATTCTTAAATTATGGATAATTGTAATTATTTAATATCAATACAAATTAACAATAAACTTTGATACCAAATCCTTTGAATTCTAAATCAACCTAATATTTATCTTAAAAAGAAGCTTAACAATTTTAAGATACTCTAGATGCTCTTAAGTTATTTAATATAAATATTGATGCTATTTTAGGAATATTGGCATCTATAATAAAATTAGGTAATATTTAATTTGAAGATCATGCTAGTAATTGTTCTATTATTGATTAAAAATCAATTGTATAGATAAGTTAATTACTAGGAATTTCAGATAAAGAATTAATAAGATGTTTATGTTATAAATAAAGATAAATGTTAAAAAATGATGTAGTTGATACTCCATTAAGTAGAATAGAATGTATAAATTAACAATAAAATATTATTAAATAATTATATGAAAGATTATTTGAATTCTTAATTGATTCAATTAATTGTTAAATGGCCACATAAAATAATAAGTATTAAATAAGCATTGTTGATTATTTTGGATTCGAATAAAATAGCTTAAATAGCTTTGAATAATTAATAATAAATTATTCTTAAGAAAAGATACATTAGTTTTATTTGTATGATACATTTTAAGACGACAATAGATTATTCAAAATTGAAGGTTTGACTAATAATCAAGGACCATTAAATTATTTAAATAATATATAAATTTTAGAATGTTTAGAAAGACCTCCTTTAGGAATTTTGAATATTTTAGATGATAGTTGCACAGTGGCTGGCACTGATGAAACTTTTTTAACAAAAATTAAAAATGCCTATGTAAATAATCAAATTATTACATATTCAAGATCTTAACCAATATTTAAAATTCGACATTTTGCAAGAGAAGTTGAATATAATGTTATTGGCTTTAGAATTAAAAATAAAGATGAAATTAATAAATAGTTTTAAATTCTACTTTAAAAATCAAAGAATTAATATATTTCAACAATTTATTAGCAAATTATCACTTAAAAGTATGTAGGAACAGTTGCAAAAATAGAATTATAAAACTTAATTGGTTCTCTTAAAGATTGTAATAATTATTTCATAAAATGCATAAAACCAAATGATTCATTAATCCATGATTAATTTAATCAATAATTAGTATTAAATTAAATTAAGTATTCTTCTATAGTGGAATGTCTTTAGATGAGGAAGGAAGGTTATGCTTATAGAAGAACTTATTAATAATGTTATATAGAATTCTTTGGATTAAATTAATATAAGAAAATAGATTAGAAGACATCAGTTATGAATTATATTAAGAGAAACTTTGCATTTACAGATGATTAGATTTTATTTGGAAATAGGATGGTTTTCTTTAAATATCAAACATATAGGATTATTTAATAAGAGATAAATAAGTAGAATAGTGTAAAATAAAAGGCTGCTTCTAAATTATAGAATGCTTGGATTTGTTATAAAAACAAAATGATTTTTAGAGAATTTCAATACAGAGTTATTTATATTTAAGCTCATATTAGAGGATATTTAATGAGGTAAAGATATGTTAGACTTATGCAGTCTATAGTGTTTATTTAATTTAAAATAAAAGAGTTTTTGAAAAGAATAAATTATAAAAGATATTTATAAGCATCAAAAGTAATACAAACCTATTTTAAGAGAATTTGTGCAATTAAACAAATGATTGTTGAAGAATAATGTGCAATAAAAATATAGAGGTTTGTAAGATAAAAATAATTATATTAAGAAGAATAAGTTGAAAATGATATCAAAAAAATATTAATAAAAATAGCAGATTAAGCATGGAAAGTTATTGTTTATAGAGCTGCAACTAAAATTTAGAAAACATGGAAAGGTTACATAACACGTTAAAATAATGAAGATAATATATAATCAATTAAACTAGCTGGATTTTTAGTAACAGCCAATTAAGCTGCTACAATAATCTAAAAATATATTAGAAGACATTAATAAAGAAGATATTATTAATCATTAAAAGCTGCCACTACTTATATTTAGGGATGGATAAGAAGCAAATGGTTGTCTGATCTATTTTAAAGGATCAGATATGCTACTATTGTAATTTAACGAGGAGTTAGGAAGTATTTTAATTAATATAGAAAATAAAGAAAGTATGAAGATTTAATTTTGATACCTTTAGAAAATGAATTAAATAGAATAAGAGAATAAGAATTCATGAATTTGCATGATAGTTATATTGAATCTGTTTTGGAGACTGAATAAGAAAATATACCTGGTAAAAAGATTGACTTATTCAGTTAAGTAATAGATTTAGAAATATTGACAGATGTAAGTGAAATCTATGATACTTTATGGACATCCTTATATAAAAGATGTTTTAAGGAATGTTATGAAAAATAGAATTATATTTCTACATACTCTATAGGAGAATGTCATGCATATGTAGGAACATTATAAAATAAAATTTATTCTTGGGGATTGAATGATTAATTATAGTAGGGATTACTTAAATAAAATGCAAATAAAATTAATTAAATACAATTTTCATTTAAAGTAAAATCAATTAAATCTGGAGCAAATCATGGATTAATTTTAAGTTAAGAAAATGCTTTATATTCAACAGATGAAACACAATGTATTTTAAAGAATGTTAAATTATTTTCTGTCTATAATGATGAAAATATAGCTGTTGATGATAACAATTTAATTTATATATGGAAAAAAAAATAAAAAAAACCAGTAGAATTGAAATCTTGGACTACATTCATAAGAATGAGTTAAATATAATAGAAGATATAAGTTCATTAAATTTCACATGGTTTATAATTCTTTATAGTATTATCAACAAATGGAATGATGTTCTCTATGGGTGAAAATACAGTAGGAGAATTAGGAATAAATAGAAGTCATTCAAAAAATGAATTAACATTAATAGAATTATCTGATAAAATCGCTGAAGTGCATTGTGGAATGAAACATACAATAGCCAAATCTACTTTAGGAAAAGTTTACACCTGGGGTTGGGGTCAAATGGGATAATTAGGACATGGAAACCTTAAGGATGAAGGTTTTCCAAAGATTTTACCATTTGAATCGAAAGTTCTTTAAGTAATGGCTGGTCACAAATAGTCAATAGTAATCTTAGATACAAAAAAGGTTTATTGGTGGGGTACTAATTCCTGTCTATAATACTAATAGAAACCAATTGAATATATGACTAATTATCCTGCAGTTAGAGTATTATGCAGTTGGAGTAGAACACTTAGTATTGTTTACATAACATTTGCCAAAACCTATAAATGTATAGATGATAACATTAAATTGAAAAATAAAATTATCAATTAAATGGTTAGTAAATGGAGTGATAATGATATTTATTCTATAGATCCTCCTTATTGTGATAATTTAGCTAATTATTTCAATCAAATGAAAAAACCTTAACAAAAATTAAATATTAAATTTGCTTCAAAAATTGAACATTAATAATTAGTTAAATAACTCTAATAATCTCCATTTAATTTACTTGATGATGTGAAAGATTCAAGTTGTTTTTTTAGTTTTAAAAATGAATCTAATATTTTATTACAAAAATAATTATTAGAACATTCTGAAAATAAAGATATTATCAATGCCAAATCTTATCATATCGATAATTCAAATAAGTATAATTTTATTATTATTTAGACTCAAATTGCTTAAGTCTGTTAAGAAATATCGAAATGATCCTTAATTATAAGAAATACTAAAATAATCTGAATTAAGTGATATATTATAATATATAAATTGATATATTTAAGCAATCGAAATGAGGTATTCTTAATGGAATAATTAGTGAGGAAAATAAGTAAGAATAACAATTAGTCTTTACTGTAATAGAAGAAGGCTATTTCGATCAATTGCTCAAAAGAGTACTCAGAAAAACCCAAGAACCCTTACATCAAATATCATTGAAGGAAGCACAAGCAATCGTGAACAGTGTTTCTCGATCTTCAGATTTGTAGTCAATAAAAGAATTAGGATTTAAAGATTTTGTTGGATACTTGCAATCTATAAGGGATGTTTATATTGAGTATAGAAAATTTCAAAAACAAGTACAATCTTCAGATATACCTGATGATTTAGATGAAATGGTTTTAGGTTGTTATAATACAGTGCCTGCATATTTCTTTGATTAACCATTCAGATTCAACTATTAACTATTTTCATTAGGCAAAGAGAAAATTAATTAATATTTAGAAGAGATTAAGGATCATTTAGATGATGTAGAGATTACATTATTCTTTTAAATAAATTCTCGTTTTGATAAATTTCTAAGTGTTATATTAAATTTGAATGAAATGAATTAAATCATAGATTAGAATATTAAAAAAGTTAAAAGAATACGTGAAATTTATAGTGTAACAAGAGAACATATGATAAAAAAAAGCACTGAAATTACAAGAAAGAAACAAGTATTAATTCTTATTGAGATTAGACAATTGAAAAAGTTGAAAATATTTTGTTTACTCTTAAACGTATTTAGTCGATTTAAAAGAGTTTCATTACATTAACTGAACTTATTAATACTAAGAAATATTCCTAAGCTGTCTAATTGCTAAAAGTAAGTGAATAAACATATTAAACTATTAAATCAATAACAAGTTTAAAGTTTATTCCTTAAAAACTAGACCAATTACAAAAAAGTCTATACACAACAATACTTAATCATCTTCTATCAATAATGCTTACTCAAATGACATCATTATTAACACCACACAAATAACTCATAAATTAACTAAATCATCAATTGAATGATCATGATGATTCCGTTCTTGCCAATTCATATGTAAATGATAGTTGGTTTGAATAACAATAGTAATAAATAATATCTATAAATAAACAATCAGATGATAGTTTTATTAAGACTCTATTGTCATCTTCAGGTATTATTGATATGGGTGATAAAATATTTAAATAAAAAGTTTTAGAGGAATTATAAGGATATTATTAAGAGTTCCTAATTGCTTTAAAAAACTATTTTAATCAAGAGGAATCTTAATAATAAAGTAAATTTGATGAATAGTCTATTATGGAATAATTATCTTAATTTATGGAGGAACAACCATTAAGTATTTTTATAAAAATTGTTTAATTCTTTTCTGAAAATTTAAAAAAGACAATTAATCTCTAAATTGCACTTGCTCAATCTATTGCCAAAAATGTATTGGATTAACCTAAACATATGGAAATAATAGAAGAGCATTTTTCTATTCCTGTAGCAATGCTCAAATTTGCTAATGAAAAAGTAGCCTTACTATTATCATCTAAGAGAATAGCTTCTGAATCTTCAGTTAAAGATTTTATAGATTTACTTTAAGTTTATAAATTTTGGGATTAATTTATGCTACAGGAAATGTCTAGAATTAATGAAGATTTATAGATCAATGATAAAATAATGTAAAAAATTAGAGGATAATATTAGAAATGTTCTATAAATCAATTAATTTATATGAGAAGTGCTTAAGAAAAGTAGTATCTCTAAAATTTTCATAAAGAGAAAAAAACACAATTAAATAAATATCTAGAGAATGAAACATGGTTGGCATCAGATGTATCCTTTGACAATTATGAAATTATTTCATATTTATTGGATCTAGAAGACTTAAAATAAGTTGAATAGTTAGATGAAAGTGTTCTTCTTAATAATAGTACAATGGCTGGGAAAAACCTATTGCCTTCATATGTAAATAATTTACATTTCAAAATTATTAAAACAGAAATTATCATTTTAAAGGACAATTCTAAATATAAAGTAACATAAGCATTCTTATTCTTTTTATAAGCTATTAGCCAATATTTGCATTTATTTGAGTCATACTCAATTATCAATTATGAATAAGCATAAAAGTTGGTTGAATTAATAAAATCTTATAATTCTTTAGCCACATAATATATTTTAGGAGCTGGAGCTGTTCATTTTGGTAAAATTACTACAATTACAGCTAAAAATTTAGCTATTTCATCAATATGTTTGAGACTCTTCTTATACTTATTAGATCCTTTATCAAATAAATTATTTAAAGTAATTAAGTAAGTATTTAATAATTATCTATAAGTTAATAGTAATAAACAGAATAGACAAATCTTCAACAAATTTAGAATGATTTTTCAACAATAAAGGTGGACTATGAAAATCATAATGCTGAAGTTATGGCCAAATTGACTACTATAGTATAGGATAGATTTTATAAACATTTTGATGATATTGCTAAATTAGATTGGAATGTAATATCAAAATTAATAATTTAGGATTCTTAAACTAAAATTACTGTTCCTACAAAGATGACAAATCAAATCTGTTAAAATACTCGATCTTTATATGTAGCTATTGAAGATATTATAACAAAAGAAGATCTTTGTAATGTTTTTGGACATATTTTATCAATCCTCAATTCTGATTTTGTAAAGATATTTAAATAGTTAAATATTACTTCTAAGTAAAATAATAGTTGAATTTATTAGAATTGGTTTTACAAGAATTAAAGAAGAATTAGACTATTTTATGAATTCCTTAAAAGACATAGGACAATTGCCTTAATTATTAGCAGATCAATATAAAAATTTAGAATCAGAAATAGCTGCAGTGATAGAGAGTAAGTAGTAATGAATCCTTATGTTTTATATATATATATATTTAATATAGATTTAATTAACAATATATTTAGAATATCAAAATTTAATTAAAGTATATTTCTTAATAACAAAAAATATAAAAAATTAGAATTAACATTAATTTTTATGAATTAAAAAGAATCATCTTCTGTTAATACATCTCGTTAATAATAATAATCTCATTAAAATAAAGAAGAGAGTAAATTAAAAAGTCTATTGTAGGGTAGCTATGATTATATTCATAGAGAAACTGGCAAAATGATATAGAAAGTATCTTGATTAATTAAGTTGAATAGAAACTCTATAAACGAGCATTTTAACTTTTAGATAAGTTTTCTAATCAGCGTAAAGATTTGGAATTAAGTGAAATGGTAATGTTGAATCGTAGGATAATAAATTGCATTAATAAAATCTTAAAAAAAGGATTGTTGAAACCAGATATAGAACAAGATAGACCTGAAATGATGATTTAAATTGTTCAAAGAGGAACTCAAGCAATATTTGAATTATATAAATACTTAAATCTTTACATATAGAAAGTAATGCCTAATGAAATGAAGGGAGTAGTGTAATTATATGTTGTTAATTTTAGTTTAGAAGATGTTTCACATTTGACAAGTTCAGATGAAGAAGGATATGAAAAAATTAAAGAACATGAAGTTACTGTTTTATTCTATAAGATTCATGAATATGAAAAACCTAAAAAAGAGAAAACTATAAAATAAGCAAAAGAAATTAATTTTTATGAGTAAGAAGTGTCAGAGTCTAGTCGTATAGCTAATATGATCGTCAAAACATTAAAACCATTAAACATCTAATTTGAATTAGATTAATACTTTTACAATTTAATTGAATTACTATTAATGGCAAATTTGGTTTTTAAAAAAGCCAATAAACCAAAAGTCGCTTATTATTATTTGTTGGAAGCTTAAAGAATAGCAAAATAAATGCTTGATACTCCAAATCCTAATTTAGTGAATGCTTGTGCTAAAGCAAAAGTTTATTTAGCAAATTATTATTATGAAATAAGTGAGTATGAAGAATCATTAAAAGTTGCTGAAGAAGCAATAGTATTTTTATGTGGAGAAATGAGAATCAGAATAAATTAAGAAAAATTTGCATAAAGAAAGTACAAAAATAGAGAAAGAAAAAGGATGAAAAGATGCGTTATAACAACTTTATCTGCATTGATTACAATGATGTGTAATTATGAAGCTTAAGATAATTATCATAGGATTGCAGAGTCATTAACAACGGCTAGTTGGTTAGCAGAAAAATACATATAAGGAATAGATGAGTTTAAGAAGCATATTATAAAATTGGCAAGTGAAGGAAAGCATAGAGTTGAATAAAATCTAAAAGATTTAGCTGATTTAAGTTTTATTGCTGAATCAACATTAGATTCAGAGTTGAATAAAATTAGGAAAAAGCATAGAGACAAATTAGAATAATCAGAATCTCAATATCTTAAGAAATTTAATAATGATATGTATCATCTTTTTCAAATGAAACCTTTAAATTAATAATTATATTTAAAAACATAGGTTAAATAAGAAAATAAAATAAATAAATAATTTGATTAGAAAGTTGTTGAATAATCATAACCTCATGGAACAGACGCTTCAGTTAATATATTTGATAGTGATTCTAATAGCTAGGATAGTTTTTTTGATGGAAGTTTTTTTGCTCCTTCAATAGACAATTTATAATTTGATAATGATATCTTTGAAAAGAAGAGAACATAATCAGTAGCAAAGAAGCCTATAAAAAATAACAGAAAATTATTAAAGATAAATAGAAAATTGGGAAAATCAGTTGGTTTAATTAAAATAGGTTTAGAAAGACCTTTAGATCATAAATCTAAAATTTTAACAACTAATTAGTATTTTAATGAATTTCTGAAACCAAAAAAGTAAGAAGAGAGGAGTGTTAGTAATGCAGGAANCTATAAGATTCATGAATATGAAAAACCTAAAAAAGAGAAAACTATAAAATAAGCAAAAGAAATTAATTTTTATGAGTAAGAAGTGTCAGAGTCTAGTCGTATAGCTAATATGATCGTCAAAACATTAAAACCATTAAACATCTAATTTGAATTAGATTAATACTTTTACAATTTAATTGAATTACTATTAATGGCAAATTTGGTTTTTAAAAAAGCCAATAAACCAAAAGTCGCTTATTATTATTTGTTGGAAGCTTAAAGAATAGCAAAATAAATGCTTGATACTCCAAATCCTAATTTAGTGAATGCTTGTGCTAAAGCAAAAGTTTATTTAGCAAATTATTATTATGAAATAAGTGAGTATGAAGAATCATTAAAAGTTGCTGAAGAAGCAATAGTATTTTTATGTGGAGAAATGAGAATCAGAATAAATTAAGAAAAATTTGCATAAAGAAAGTACAAAAATAGAGAAAGAAAAAGGATGAAAAGATGCGTTATAACAACTTTATCTGCATTGATTACAATGATGTGTAATTATGAAGCTTAAGATAATTATCATAGGATTGCAGAGTCATTAACAACGGCTAGTTGGTTAGCAGAAAAATACATATAAGGAATAGATGAGTTTAAGAAGCATATTATAAAATTGGCAAGTGAAGGAAAGCATAGAGTTGAATAAAATCTAAAAGATTTAGCTGATTTAAGTTTTATTGCTGAATCAACATTAGATTCAGAGTTGAATAAAATTAGGAAAAAGCATAGAGACAAATTAGAATAATCAGAATCTCAATATCTTAAGAAATTTAATAATGATATGTATCATCTTTTTCAAATGAAACCTTTAAATTAATAATTATATTTAAAAACATAGGTTAAATAAGAAAATAAAATAAATAAATAATTTGATTAGAAAGTTGTTGAATAATCATAACCTCATGGAACAGACGCTTCAGTTAATATATTTGATAGTGATTCTAATAGCTAGGATAGTTTTTTTGATGGAAGTTTTTTTGCTCCTTCAATAGACAATTTATAATTTGATAATGATATCTTTGAAAAGAAGAGAACATAATCAGTAGCAAAGAAGCCTATAAAAAATAACAGAAAATTATTAAAGATAAATAGAAAATTGGGAAAATCAGTTGGTTTAATTAAAATAGGTTTAGAAAGACCTTTAGATCATAAATCTAAAATTTTAACAACTAATTAGTATTTTAATGAATTTCTGAAACCAAAAAAGTAAGAAGAGAGGAGTGTTAGTAATGCAGGAAGATTATTAAAAAGATAATTAGAAAATATAGAATATAGAGAACATCCAGATAGAGATGAACATCATAAATAAGATTTAGATGTTTATGTTAATAAAATGGTAACTGGTAAGATAGAAACTAATGAATTTCAGGATTATAATGATATTCTAGGATAGTTATTTAATTTAAGAAAGAAAGAAGACTTTGATAAGAAAGAATTTTATTTTGGTAGAAAAATGCTCAATTTGAAAGCAAAAGAAGAAATCATGTTTTATAAGGAATCATTCAATTCACCACCAGTAAAAGTAGAAATAGACACAAAAGTTAGGGATTAAGCACATATTATAAATGGTAAAATAACAGCAGAAAAGGAATTAAAAGAATTGAAAAAAAAAAAGATTGATAAAATGGTAGCAGGCAAAAAGATAGTATAAACTAATGTTAATATTGATTTAAAAGATGAAGAAGAAACTATTTATTTGAGAAAAGTATTAGAAAAAAGTAAGAAAAAGAAACTAAAAGATTTTATTTATAAACATAGAGAAGCCTTAGGATTATCAAAATTTTTTGCAAATTTACATAGAGAATAAAAAGAAAAAGAAAGGATATAAAAATTAAAGTCAGCTTTTGAGAAAGAAACTTTAGTTGAAATTTCTGAGAATTAGAATTTGTAATAATAATCTACAAAACAAAGAAAAAATGTCAGAATTTTAGTACAAGAGATTGATAAGAAACCTCTAAATCATTAATTATCATTGTAACCATCTTAGAGTAGAAATTCTTAACTTTGTTTAGATGATATGAAGATATAATCAACTCAGAATTTAACACAATAAAAATCAAGTTCAATACCTAAACCAATATTAAAGAGAACATCTGAAACTTAAAAAAGTTTATAGGTAAGTTAATCAATTCCAAATTTGGAGGCTCAAGGAACAGATTTAATTTTATAATAAGAGAAACAATAAAAAGTTTAGAGATAGATAAGAGATCAAATTGAAAAATAATAAAAGAAATCTCATCAAGTTATTGGTATGATAATAGATGGAGTGGAAAGGAAAATGGATATTGAAAATAAGGAATTAAATAAAATGTTGTTCAAACAAAAAGGAGGATAGAAATAATACATTGATGATGATGAAAAAACTTATTTGAAATTTGCACCAAAATTTTCAGATATGAGCAGATCAACTTATTTAATGTATATTAAAAAAGAGTTAGCTGAAAAATAATTGTTTAGTTTAGAAGATAATTAACCACAAAGAATAATGATGCCCAAAAAAAATTAATTGTCAGATATGGCTTAAATGTTTAAAGAATTAGGATAACATTTATGATTTTTATATAATAATATTTTATAATAAATATGATTGACAAAAGGATAATAAAATACGTATTTATTGATGACGAAGTATCTTTGTTCGCAAATTAATAACACATAAGGATTGCAATTAGATTATTATTTGAATTCAATGACATCATAAACACTATTGTTAACTTTGGGAGTCTTGATGGTTTTAGGAGCCACAGCCTATATGAATTATGAGGATAATGTTAGCTCAATAGATCATGGATTCACTGCAGATTTTGCATCCTTTATAAAATCTTTTGATTCAAAATATGACTTTATTAGATCTGATATCACTTGGTCAACATATGGGTAATCAAATATTTCTATTATTACTTTTAGAGGTGCTGAAACTAGACCAACTACTGCTCCATCCAAATATCCTATTGTTTTTGTTCATGGAAATTCTGATATTGGAGTTGGTAATGGTGGAACTGTTGGATGGTAGACTGGATTTACATAACTTATTGAACATCTATAAAATTATGGTGGATACACAAAGGCTGATTTGTATGTAACAACATGGGGTAAAATTTTATAATAATAAATTTTGTAGGTCCTGCCAATCCAAATATGGCATCATAAAACAGTCATAGTGAAAAATATGTGATGACTACTAGACGTTTCATTGAAGGAGTTCTTGCATACACTAAAGCCAGCAAAGTTATAGTCATTGGTCATTCTATGGGAGTCACTTTGGCAAGAGCAGCTATCATTGGTGGAACTTATTCAGAATCCTTATTTAGTAAATTTACTGTTGGAGATCCTATAACTAATTCTATTGCTGCTTTCTTTGGATTAGCTGGTGCTAATTATGGTTTAGTTGATTGTACTTATGCAACTGGATTACCTACTTGCAGTACATACAATGGATTTTCACCATCATCTTAAATGTTAACTGCTTTGAATTCTAAAACTCATAGAGAAGGTGCTAAAGTTTATTCTTTTTGGTCACCAAATGATGATATCATTAAATACAATTGCATTGTCAATCAAAAAAATACTTGCATTGTACCTGGAAGTGATGAATCAGTAATTCTATAATTTATAATATTAGTATTAATAAAGTGGATACACACATTTTGATGTAAGAGATAAGTTTGCAGCTGACATACTTCGTCTCATCTAGAAATTATGATTATTTTATATATTAATTAAATATAAGACTCAAATCTTTTTTAACAATAAGGGGGGTATTCTTACAAATATACTGCTAAAAAAGGGGCCAACATCAATGACCCTAAGTATAACAATTTTTTAATTATACAAATGAGACACATCAATAAAAGAGGTACAACATCATCATTTTCAGGTTTGTGAAAGGAGTGTGTCTGAATTACAATTAATTAATTTATTTAATTGCTTTTCAATTACAATTACTTTAATCTAGGCACACCCCCTAACACAAACCACTTGCAAAATCCCATATATATTAATGTCTATTCTTAACTTATATAGATTGCCTAAAGCTTAAGTTACAGAAAAAGGGAACCTTCATTGAAATCGTCCATCCAACCAAATCATCAGATGAAGAAACCATCGTTAAGAAACGTATTGTTAACAATTTTAATGTCAATTCAACTTTTTGGATCACTTCAAAATAAGATGTTCCACCTACTTTAGATTTTGAGAGTCTTTTTAAAACACCTATTCCAGAATAAGCTGTCAGACATAATGAAACCTTTGAAAAGCTCGAAGTGGTCACCAATACTAATTAAAAGATATTAATTGATGTTCCATCAAGACCAGCTGCTTATACTTTAGAAAAATTAAATTTAAAAGGAAAACCAACACTTGAGTAGTTGTTTTAAGCCATTCCAAATTGTATGGATTATAAGGAAAGAGATAAAGACTTCAAATTAGGAGGCTATAAACTCAACTATCAATCTGGTTATGCTCCAGTTGAGATTTAAAATAGACATAAGGATCCTGAAGATTATACAAAGAAATAACACTTTATTAGACAAAAATAATCATAAGCCAATTTGAATTTGAAAAGAACTTGTGGTGTTTCATATGTAAAAAAGAGTGAAAGTGAATAGAAGGATGTTAATCATATTTTTAAAAAGTACTGATTAAATTTTATTAAGACTTCCTCCACTTGTTTATTAATGTTCATCAGGTTGTTAACCTATAACTGGATATGATGAAGCCTTTGATAACTTATTTAATAATCTATTGAATGGAAAGAACTTGATAGTGTTCACACTTTTCAATTCATAGGATGAAAGTTCATTGAGAGAATATTTACTATTTCCTCACCTAAGAAATAAGATTTCAAGAGAAAGAGTTATGATAGCTAGGAAATTCTTAAATTTATGGATGTTATTTTAAGATGCTTTATGTTTAGTGATTCATTATAAATATGACGAGTATAAAATAAAATATAATTAATAGAAATTAATTATTAAGACCAATATAATTGAATGAATAAGAAGATATAAAGTAATAATTAGTGGACTTTATTTGTGAATCAGAAATTTCTATATGTTTATTATTCAAAAAAAGTGTATCAGGTAGAAAAGCATTTTTGAAAAGTGTTGGATTATGGAATGAAGGAAATGATAATTCTTCAATTTGTACAGAAACACAAAGAGAAGATTTATAAACTAAATTTGTTATATCAGTTCCTAAAGTTCCAATTAATAGCAATTCAACTGCCCAAAGTTTATTCTAAGAATTTACTAATATCATCTAATAATAAGAGAATTATGTTTTAGAAGGCAGATCTTAAACTCAAGTTCCATAAACTCAATAATAAAATCCAAATAGTGAAAAATAATCAAAAAAAAAAAAGAGGGCAAAGATCTTATCATCAACAGATGTAAGAAAAGATGGTGGAGCAAGTGAATAATTGATAAATCATTTAATAAAAGAGGATGGAAATCATAATATTAATACATGTAGTATAAGAATGGAAATGTATGTTACAGAAGAAAAATGGAAATCAGCAAATGATCATAATAAAGATTTACTTAATGCTTTTATCAAGAGAGTTGAACATCATGTAACAAGTTCATATTTAATTAAAATGATGAATAAAAGATTTAAAGCAAATGAAAAAGGATAAGATTATATTATAAGAAGAAGCAATAAAATCTATGAAATACCAACAGATAATGTTTAAATAAAATAGAATAAAAAGACAATTAATTGGACTTCAACATTTACTCCTGAAAATTTTACAAATCTATCAACATTTAAATTAAGCAAGAAATATTAACATATCTCTCTAGACATTATTAAAATGAAAGAATTAAGTTTTCTTAAATAACCATTATATTGTATAACAACTAGAGATAGTTTTGCATTTGATTTAATTACTAAAGTTACCAAAGTTAAATTAGGTGATAGAATGGTAGATAGGTATTAAATTATAATTTAAATCAATCTAGATTAGATTTCTTTTTTGAACCTAACAATTGTCCATGTAATTTTAAATCATTTTTACCAATGTTTCCAGAATATTAGGTTGGAGCACATGCATATGTAGGATATTTTACAAATGAAGAATTATTATAAATGGAAAAAGATATATTTGAAATGGAATTAAAAGGATTTGATGGTAATATTATATATTTATTATTTTATAGGTCATTATTTACCTATGACTGCATAAATTTCACATGCTTAATCAAATCATCATTCAAGTGTAAGAAGAACTAAATTCTTTTTTGGTTATAGATATATGTGGACTAAATGTTAATTAGCAGAACCACATTCAATGGTAGCTGCTGGTGTCAGAAGAGATGTATCAGCTCCTCCATTATGGATGAGAAATCTAATTACTAAACTTGAAAATGATAATGTAGTACCTAAAAAGTTTATTAATTCTATTGCTTGTAATGTTTATCATGATGGAAAAGAAGGATTAGCATAACATTTTGATGATGCTGTTAGATTTAAATAACCAATCTTTACTATTAGAGTATTTTCAGATTGTAGATTATCATTTGGAAGTCAATTTTATGGATTTTGTAATGGAGCATTTGCTGTTCCTTTACCAAGAGGGTATCTATTTAATTATTACTATTTATTAGATGTATTCTTTGTATGGAAGAAGGTTCTTATGCTGCAAATGCTATCAAACATTGTGTAAGACCTTGTGATATGACTGGTAAAAGTGCTGCTTTAATATTACGTCAAATGCATGATTAGGTTACTTAGGAAGCTATTAAGTATGATGAATAAGTGGATTTACCATGTCATATGTCTACTTTATCAGTTGATGATAATGCAGTTCCTTTTGGAGAATAAAAGAGATTAGAAGCAGAATTACTAAGTTGATTATTAATAATAAGTTACAATATCTTTTAAATTATACTTAACTTAATTTTTTAAGATTCCTTTACAACTCCATTTATGACTGATTTAACGTAAAATAAAATAATTATTTATTAAAATTTAAGTATTAATTTTATTATTATTTTAATAATTAGAGAAAATGTTTAGAATAGCAGAAAAAACTCAATTGATTTCTTGTCCTATGCATAAGAAACCCATAAAATATTTAAACATTGGATAGAATTGTTCTTTGGAGTTGAGAATAGGATGCTCTTCATGTATGGGGGGAAATTTTATTGACTTTGAATTAGCGGAAGAACTACTTGATAAATTGAATAATGGAAATAATGATGATGATATGAAATAACAAATAAAGATTGACTTTATGCATACATTAAATCAATTTAGAAATTAAGTTAATAAAATACTTGATAACATTGAAAAACTAGTAGAATCCATGAACTACAGTTCGGATAAACTTATTAATTGGCTTAATTAAATTAAAGAGGCTAGTTAATTTAATATTGATGATTTAAGATAAATTGCTGTTAAACTAGGAGTATATATTATCAAATAAGGTGATCAATTTTAACCTAGAGTTAATGAATAATGGTAAAATTATATTAGTAAATATGCTCAAATTTTATAAAAAACAAGCCTTATTATTAATCAAAAAATAATAGAGAAAGAATTAAATCCAAATGATTAGGCTGAAATTGTAACTTAAGAAGAACCAAAAAAAATTTGTTAAATTGAATCAAAAGAGATATTGTTGGCAAAGTAAGACATAGGTTAGGAAGTTGAAAAACTCAATAATAATTATTAGATAGAAATAGATGAATAGAAGAAGAAAATAGAATTCTTAGAAGGTTAAATTGAAAAATATCATAATTTATATAACAAATTAAGGAATTAAAATGACAATCAAGAACCAGTATTGGAAACACCAAAAGTTAATATGATTATAAATAAACATGAACCTGAAAAAAAAGAAGAATTATATAAACCATTATAAAAATAAGACAAAGAACAATTATAGATTTAGAAATATTTAGATGAAAAAACAATAAACCATCCTCTTTGGAAAGAGTTTAATAATGAAATAGATCATATAAAGAATTAATTAAAATGGTTGGAATATAAATATGCTGAATAATTATATTAATTCAATTAATAAGCTCTTTAAGAATAATAAAAAAAATAATAATTACATTTTATTAAAAAACCATAAGAAAACTAAAACTTTTCTAAATTTTATCTTAATTAATTAATAGCTTAATTGTAAACAATCAATAAATTGTTACTTGATTCTTAAACCATGTATAAGATGGACAATATTGTTGTTTCCAAAAATTACTAAGATGAATAAGATTTAAAAAAAAAAGTATTAGAAACAATAGATTATATCAGAAATCATAAATAACATCTGGATGTTTGTCAAATTGAATTAAAATATGTTTAAGAACTTATGTCAATAAATGAATTATCAAAATGTAATATGGTTAATAGTAGAGACTTATAAAAATATTTTTAGAGACTTACTGACAAAAATAAATATGGAATATTTTACATAAATAATAATGCTTTACTTAAGAATTCAAAAAGTCTTCAATAAGTAATAATTAAATCATTGTAAGATAATCAATTGAAAGACAATCTCCAAATAGATAAAGATTTTATATTGGTTAATAAATTTGTTTGGAAATTTATATCTACTCTATACTTTAGTAGTGGCCCAGAAATCTTGATCTAAGAAAATTGAAATTTGTATATAAACGAATATATGCTTTCTTTTCAAAATTATGTATCTTTATAAATTTTAAACTTTAATTTATGAATCACTTAGCATAAATAAGTGATTTTTATGAGATGAAAAATATATATTAATATAGATCTTTTGATATTCTCTTACAATATCATTTATTCTATTAAATATATGATCAAAAAAGTTAACTTATTAAGACATCAAATAAAATTAATCTTGATATTGAATGAATGTGAAATGAAACAAAATCTTTGATTCAAACTTTAATAATAAGAAAGAATTTTTGTCTATTTTGCATAGGAATAGATTTTCTAAATTGATGAAATACAAAATTATTATAAATATATATGCAATAATCTCATTTTTATTACGATATGTTCAAAATCATATCATTACTATTTTAGTAGGATCTAATTAATAAATAAGAGAAGGATGATTTAAAATGTACTTCAATTTTTAATTTTAGTTATGGTACTCGAATCTCAATCAGAATTGATGTTTTAATTGCAGGCCATATATCGTTCTTCTGTAAAAGGAAAATAAGTATATATGGTCCATGAAATAAAAAAATATATAGAATCAAATAGATAAGGTTCTCCAAGAAATAGTTCACCCAGATCTTCAAGATATTTAGAAGCCTCTCGTATGTGGAGCATTTATGAAGAGAATGAAGAGGAAGAAAGAGATAACGAAATTAAACTTATTGGAATTCGTCGCTGACAATTAGTTTTGTTCAAAAGTTGTGACTCTTTTTTGTTTATTAATTATTTATGGAGACTGAAACTCAATATCAAATTTCTCCAGAAGGTGTGTTACTAATTATATCATTAGATATCGAATTTCTGAATGAAAAATATCGTCTGGTTTTTACATATCCTGCCGCAGCATTTGCTATTTCAGCTGTCATCCTAGCATCCACTAGATTTTTGAGCTTCCCAAAATTCTTCAGAAACCCTCTTGAAGTATGCATTCAAAAAATTTAAATCAGTCTCCAGAAGGAAATGCTCTCTTCTATACAAGACTATCGAAAATGGCAAAACCACCTTTGTTATTATATGGTGCATGTGTTGGAGGGGCTATAGGGTTATTTCAATATGAATTAGCCAAATATAACATGTTTGTAAAGTATAGAACTTTAGTAAATACATATTTGGATGCTTGTGAGGCAGTCTATGTGAGTGAATTAAAAAAGAGTTAAGAAAAATGAATTTAATTAAAAAATGAGTACATTATCAAATATCATTATAAATACAAGTAAATTACATATATTAATACATATACAATAAGAAATTAAAAAGAGAAAACAATAAAAAATTGTCAGATAATATATATATTTTGTTTTAGCTTTAATATATATATATATAATAATATTAGTTTTAATGAAAATGGCTGTTACTCCATTGTAAGTTTCTAAATCACTACCTCCAGTTCCTATGCCCGTAATGAATACTCCAGTGATGGTTGACAGAGGTAGACAGAAAGTAAATAACTATTAGTGGCAAGTTTGAATCATTCTACAATATTCAATAAAGAATCTCCTAAAAATACACTTAATGAATAATAGTTGATAGAATTAGAAACCAGAATTCTTAATCTTGAATAAGATTCTTCGGCAAAATTAAAATGTGAAAATTTGATCCAAGAAAATAAAAATCTAATGCAATAAGTTACTCAATAAACTGAGAATGTAGCTAAATTTAAGGGGGAACTAAAGATTGCTAAAAAAGAAATCTCAAAGTAAAGCTTTAAAATATAATAAAAAGACTTAAGAAAGTATTAGATATAAAAGAAGAAGCCTTAACGGATATTAGAATTAAAAATCATTCCAGAAATTTATCATAATCTGATAAAATGGTTCAACAAAAAGAAATGATGGAATAGTAATATTTTAAAGAAAAACTATAATTATAAAATTAGATTAAACAACTTGAAGAATTATTAGAACAAGAGCGTTCTCAAAACTAAAATAATTAGACTTCTCTTTATTTTCAATAACAATAAATACTTATTTAAAATCAATAAAGGGACTATTAAATTTAATAACCTTAACCTTCTTTACAAGCATATAAATGCAACCAATAAAAAAAAAATGAGTAATATTCAACCTCTTAGAATAGGAATTCTTAAATATCTAATTAGGAAGGAGAATTCAATCAAATTTTTTATAGACCTTGTCATTAAGATAAATTATATTAAGTTCCTAGTAAAGGAATAACAAAAGAGAGTAGTTCTCCAAAATTCAATAATTAAAGTTTTCCTTTATTAAAATTCAATTCTGTTGCTTAGGAAAACTTGGATGCTAATAACTAATTCGATTAAATAAGTAAATCCATTGATCCAAAAGATTAATTTAAAACTCATAATTAATAAAAAGATCATAATATGATATAACGAAAATCATTATCTTAGATTACAGAATTGATAAATTAAAATGAACATGGATAAATTCAAAGTAAAGAAAACCATTGTAAATACTTCGAGAAAAATTGTTAATAATCACCAAATTATTCATCCTCCAATATCTCTAAAAATAAATTATTATAAGAATTAGAGGAACTGAAAAATGAGGTTAATTTCTAAAAAGTAACTATTCAAGATTCGATTAAAAAAATATCAATACTTGAGTAAGAAAAATCTAATGTTATTGATAAAAATGAAAAACTTCTTCGAGAATTTCGTAATTAAGTTGAAGAAATAAAACGAAATGATTTAAAAAGAAACAATATACAAAATGATATTATAAGACTTGAAGAAACTCTTTAGTCTTAAAAAATACATTATGAAACTTATATTTAGGATTAATAACTTAAATATAACCTTCTCGAATAGAAATTTTAAGAAAATTAAATATTATTATAAGAAAACCTAAAAGAATAGACTAAATTTGAGTAAGATAATTGCATATTATTGAAAAATCAGTTAGAAGAAAAATAATTAGAAATTCTAAACATTAGTCAAAAAGTCCTTAATTATAAAAATAAAAATGATTAGTATGAAATATAAATAAATCAAATGAAAAAATAAGAACTAGACTTAAAATTAGAGATTGAAAAAATCAATAAATAATATCATTAAGTTAAGAATTAATTTGATGATACCTTAAAAAATCTGAATGAAGCACAAAATCAAATGTTAAAGATGTAATCTTAATTTTAATCAGAATTTTAATTAAGGGAAAAAATAGAATTAAATTATGCTATCTTATAAAAAGAATTTAGTCAATATAGAGAAAACTCTA